AAATAATCTAAAGGGATAGTTAAAACCTGAAGGTCACAAATATTTATAAAGTGGGTGCTTCAATGACAAAACATAGAGATAATTAATTATTTATTATTATTCAGATTTAGCCATACGGCTCACACTCTCTCTGTAAGGGGAAAATTCACTCATCCCAGATACCTACGGTATCAAAAGGATTGAGCTCTGGTGGGACTCTTTCCGTGTTATCGAGACCTAGGTGACTTGATATACTGGAGTATATCAAGTCACTTGATATACTGGAGTATCTCCCAAAAATTTTCGTACGCATCTGGACGTTGAGAGTAGTACAGCTTTCTGCATGGTCTTGTAAAGATGTTCATTCAGACCTAGCTTTTTTATGTTTTGTAGGAGGTTATTTAGAATGACTCCAGTAGTAGAGAGAATAATAGGTATTGTTTGGGTACTTTCCATTTTCCACTGTCTTCGTATTTGAATTTCAAGATCCCTGTACTTGGCAATTTTTTCGTTCTGTTTAACACGAAGATTATTGTTGTTGGGTATCGCCACATCAATTAATGTTATTTGTCTCTTTAGTTTATTAACTAGTATGAGATTTGGTCTATTATGTGCAACTGTTTGGTCTGTGAGCACCGTGCGGTCCCATTATAGCTTCTAGTTGTCGTTCTCAAGTATACTCTCAGGAACATATTGATAATATGGAAGATGGTTTGTTTGAAGAAGTCCCATTTTGATAGCTATCTCTTGATGAAGAATCTTTCCTACTAAGTCGTGCCGTTCCTTATATTTAGTTGCAGCAAATGCCTGACAGCCCCCGGTAAGATTTTGAATGGTTTCCTGAGCTTGGCATCCATATCGGCATTCGTCATTTTGGACCTGAGGGTCTTTGACGATATATTTCAGGTAATTTTTGGTTGGTATAAGCTGATCCTGAATGGCCAGTAGTGAACCTTCTGTTTCGGGGAACATCTTTCCTGATGTCATCCAATAGTTCGACGCTATATTGTCGACATGGTCTTGACTGACCTCATTAGGATGTCGCCCGTGCAGAGGTTTGCCCATCTAGGTGCGCATTTTTTTGTTCTTAGTAAGGTGAATTATGCGCATTTCTGGTTCCCTCAGTTTGATTGGTGTTGTGTCATCTACTGCACAAATCGCGCGATGAAGAGTAGATGTCTCTTAATAAGTTCTTAAATTAGTAATCTGTTTTTCTAATTGCTCGCTTATATCCATAAGTTCTCGACCTCATAAATACCGCGGTAATGTCGTTCGTTCTACTGCACTTCGAGGATGGTGTTTTTGTGCCTTTGTGAGGTGTGTTCGTACTTTTCGCTGAAGATTTTCTATATCCGTTTTTGTCCACTTAACAATACCAAATGAGTAGCTAAGCGCGGAACATGCGTAGGTGTTTAGTGCCCTAAACAAATTTTTACTGTTAAGATGCGAACGAAGCAGCTGTTTTACCCTTCGTATAAACTCAGTTGTTATCTCAGTTTCATTTGCTTATGGTCAATCTTCCGCGCTTGCTTTATTCCGAGGTATTTATACATATCATTTTCACCCATGGCCTCGATGTTCTGGCCGTTTTGAATATCGATTATTATTAGAGTTAATAACCGATGTAATAAAGAATAATAAATTCAAACGTATATAAGTATTCTCAGTAATCTCTTTATTGTAAAGCAAGTGAATCATAATTATTAACAAAAATCTGTTTTACTTCTATTGTAGTACTTTATGATATACACTGTTTTTTGTTTAATTACCTGGTGAATATACAAACAAATCTTATAATTTTTCAATACGGGAGCAGGCAACATACAATTGACCATGTGAGATACATGAGTTTTCTAGATTAATATCACAAACACCTAATGATTGACCCTGGGACCTATTTTTGGTCATAGTAAAAGCAAGCCGCACTGGAAACTGTAGTCGTTTAAATTCAAATGGTATTTCAGTCGGAATCATTGGGATGCGTGGTATCAAAACGTCTTCTCCTTTATACTTTCCTTTTAGTATAGTTGCTTCCATCACGTTGTTCAATAATTTTTTTATCGCTAACCGTGTGCCGTTGCAAAGACGCGGTTGGTTGATATTTCTCAACATTATAACTACCGATCCAACCTTTAATTGAAGATTGTGAGGTGGCAATCCTGGTTAATCCAGTGAGTTTTAAAAATTCAGGCAGATGGTTGACTATATCTTGGTTAGTAGCCGAATCAACTGATTTATATATCCTCAATTCGCCTGTAATTTGTTCTTGAATTTTGAAATTTAATTCATTTACATCTATGTTTTTTGCAGCCAATATAGCCCTTTTGCTCAACCAATCATGGTTTCTGTAATTTTGAGTAACATCTGGAAACACCTTCTGGAAACAAGTATCGGTTTGTTTAACTGATGCAATGACGTGAAAACTGATGCAATTTATGTCGCGTTCCGAAACTAAAACAAAAGAAAGAATATTTCGAGGCAAATTAAATCTATAGCTCTTACATTTTTTGACTTTTCAAATTGGTCGGGTTCACGATATTATCACTTTTGTGTGAACGCATTAGATCCTCCAACGCCAACACGCACACATACGAACGCGCACAGACAAGAACGCGCACACACATACATTTGATTGAATTTGAACTTTGTGCAGCGACAATAAAGCGCAAATTGAATCTTCGACGTTAGGAACACACCTACGTTGTTTAGACAACATTGAGTGCTTGTAATTTAATATAAATTTTATTGAATAGCAATAAAGTTCAAATTGACTCTACATTTAGTTAGACAATATTTGTATGGTAAAAAGAAATGGGCTGTTTTAGTGTTTTCCCGGAAATTATTCGAATTTTTAAACCATCCAATTCGTATATATTTTATTCATCATGATGTAATCAAAACGATTTCTAACGACATCTTTGGCATTCTGAAGAATCCAAGGGAGATTTACAAGTATAGAGTCTTCTGGGGCAGCTTCAGCGTTCATAATTGCCAATTGCAGTCTATGCAGATATATTTTTTAATCTGTCGACTTTATTGTTTCTTACTCTTAAGCTGCGTGGTCCAATTATATCTTCATAATAAATAATACGACTAAATCTCGGTTTATAACGTTCTCTGCCGTTTTCCGATTTGTATATAAATGATTTAGCAGACGATGGTTCAAACCCTGGCCAGAAAAGAAAAGTCTAACGTAGTGTAAAATTCTAAATGGATCTGTTACTTAGACTACGCTTCTGGACCTAAGGATGAGCAGTACGGCAACAATAAAATGTAATACATAGAATTCCAAATATTCCGCTTACAATTAGTTTTTTATATATACACCTCTGCGTAATTCTAACATAAATTTTATAAAGGAAGCAATAGTTGTATTCTTTGTTACTAATTTATATACATTGTGTTCGTTCACAATGGATTTAAACTGATGTTTGTGTGTACAATTTCTATTTAATATTAATTAATTTAAAATTAAACACTATTTTAGAAAAATTTAGACTAATTTAGTTTTAGATAATTACAGGCCAGTTACAGTCCCTACTATTTTGGGCAAACTTTATGAAAAATGTGTATACAAAAGAATGTATAGTTTCCTTAGTAAACACAATATATTATCTTCCAACCAACACGGATTTCTACCTGGAAGATCAACAGAGAGTGCTACCACTGAATTGCTTAGTTTCATTCACAGTGGGATCGGGGAGATTTTGTGGGGGCATTTTTCTTTGACCTCTCAAAAGCATTTGATACCATAAACGTAAGAGTTGCTATAGAGAAGTTAAAAAATCTTGGTTTTAGGGGTCAGTTCTCATTATGGCTGTCATCTTATTTACATTATAGGAAGATCCTCGTCAAACTTAGTGACACACGATCAGATTATGGTGATATTGATATTGGGGTTCCTCAGGGTTCAACATTGGGGCCATTAATATTCCTATGCTATATTAATGATATGCCCAGATATGTCAGTTCAAATAACATATTTATGTATGTAGATGACACAACTATTGCTACATCTGCTTCAAGTGTCGAGGAATTAACTGTTCAACTGAATGATATATCAGAAGATTTCACAGAATGGTGTAAAAAAAATGCTTTGGTCTTTAATGCTAACAAAACCACAAGCATGCAATTCTACTATAGATCAAATTCAAATTACCAGTTTTCTATAAAAAAAAAAAGTAAATGAAAGCCTGGTTCATTCTAAAACTTCCACCAAACTTTTAGGTTTGTATCTTGATAGTAACATGAGCTGGGAATCTCAAATTAATCATGTTTGCAAAAAATTAAATAGTAGTTATTACGCAATTAAAAAGTTTTCTTAAAAAGGAACAGTTATTAAATGTTTATTATGCAATTGTTTATTCTCACTTGACCTTCAATATAAATCGTTGGGGTAGTGCTGTAAATGCTGCACGAGTGTTTATCTCGCAGAAAATGATAATTCGGTTAATTTTTAATTTACCATATAGGCATTCATGTCGAAAATATTTTAAAAAATACAACATTTTAACAGTACCTTTTATATATATTTTTAAATGTATACTACATATAAAAGTCAAAATAACTACTTTTTATTTAAACTCTGATTATCACCAGTACTCAACAAGACAAAGTGACTTCATCAGAGTACCAAAACATACCTACCAATACAGCGTGATTTGAAAAATCCCAGTATTATATGGGTATAAGACTTTTCAATCATCTTCCCAACAGTATTAAATCTGAAACGAATTTAAATAAATTTCGAGGTAAATTAAAATCTTTTCTATTGCAAAATTGTTTCTACAGTGTAAGTGAATATTTGGTTGATGTAAACAATTAATCCTATGTACTTTTTATCTTTTAATTCTGAAGTTGTGATGTTTTATAAGTGTTTTATATATATATATATATATATATATATATATATATATATATATATATATATATAAATTTTTTTCGACTTATCCTATATCATGTAAATGATCGTTCAGGATGAATAAATTATTATTATTATTATTATATTATTTTGTTTTTAGGTTTACCAAGCCGAAGAAAAAGACTTTCATCAACTACATGAATTTATAATTAAGCAATCGGGCAAATTTAGCGCCCTTTCTGGTCACATAAACTACGGAATTATGATCAGCGTTAAAATGTTGCACGGGGAATTACGATCGATAACCGAAGAAAATGCCTTGTTATTCAAGAATGTATGTTTAACAAGTAAACTAGGCTTTCCCGACGTGATAATGCCAGGAGATGTTAGAAACGATTTATATTTGTATTTAGATCGGGGGGAATTTGAAAGAGGTGGAAAGTCTACTGGTAAAAATATCGAAGTGTCCGTGGTTGTATTGGATAGTGAGAAAAAGATTATTAAGGTAATTATTTCAAACAATGGTCAACTATCACATTTAAACTTTCATTTTGTCTTAATTTTGTCAAATATCTTCCTGGATTAAACCGCAATCTGCAAAATGAATTATATTTTTAACATTTCGACACCTAGATCGAAAGAGGTTTCCATACGTATTTTTGAAAGGGAACTCACATTTGCAAAAGGAGTAGGATATAATCTTTTGAAGCTTATCAAACTTGTTTTGTTATCTCTATTTTGAGATTATTTAATGTTTCAGCCCAAAAAGCTCAAAATATTCGTTTCATTTATTATCATTATAGTCTAGGCGGTATCTGTTTTGGATTGGACATTTTCCATAGGAAGCTATTTTTTTTTGCTGGAATCCCTTCAGGATGTGCTCAATATGGATAATCACGATATGCGCCAGTCGCAAACCCTGTGCTAAATTTTTTTATTTGACAAAATCTGAAAACAATTGAAAATTTCTCATTTTTTTGCTCCTATTTTCGTTTATAATTCTGAAAATATTGACCCTAGAGCAAAAATTATACGAAGTTAAAAGTTTCGTTATTCAATTTTATACAATATTTCGTTAGCTAGAAATTGAAAATTTAATGTTTATTGTTGAAAAAATAGCAATAATTGGAAAAAAGTACAAAAAAATGAAGTTAATCCTTTAAATTTTTTTGCAAGTGACTTAAACTGACTTGCAAGCTCCATATTCCGCCTAGAAAAACTTTTTAATATGTTTAAAACGTGTGCTAACTAAATTTTGTTAAGATCGGTCGGATAGGTTTTACATAATAATTTTGCAATCCAGCCTACTGAAAATTTATAGTAGGCCCTAAATAAGGCCCTCACATAGTTGCAAATTTTTTTACATATAAAGGAAGGCTCAAACTTTCAAACGCTTTTTGTAAAATTCAAATCGGTTTAGTAGGAGAGCCTAGAATTTTTTTTCTTTTAACATCTTTTATCAACGTCTGTTTGCCATGTAATTTTTAGAAGGCTCAGATTATACGCAGAAATCTGGATTGTCTTTCGAAACTATTTTACGGATTTTGTAATTAGATGTCGCTATCGCGTCCGTATTGAAGCCATGTTATTGTTGCTTCTTAAAAGTCAGAAAATATTGATTTTTCACGTTGAGAACTCCTATGAATAGCTGTTATGATGAGACCTATTAGGTCGAAATACGTATCAACAGATACATAGGAATTGTTTGCGTGAAATCAAATATTTGCTTTTTTTTTCATTTTAAATTGAATAACCTTACGAGCTAAACATATCAATTTCAAAATTTATATACTTAAAGAACATTAAAAGACGCTTATTAAAAAAAAAGATACATTTGGCATTCTGGTTGCCGATATATTGAAGGTCAAAGTTGGCATACATTTGCCGTGTAACCATAAGTGATAGAGAGAAAAAATGTTCCGTTCGCCTTTGTAAAAGTAACAATTTACTTAATTGTATAGATTGCAAGCTCAAAAAAAAAACAGTTTCGAGCATTACACAGCAATATAATAACACGTACAATATACACGTCATTTTCGAATCAAAATATATTCTCAAATCAAATAATGTCATTATTATGATAAAACTGAAGAAATAAATTATTTTTAATGTTAATTATTTTAAAAAGTATGATTTTTACAAAAAAAAATTCGTTCGCCTTTGTTTTAAAAATTCAAATTATTTATTAACAATTTATAAATACATATTTGTTTACTAAAAGTAACAATTTACTTCAATGTATAAATTGCAAGCTCAAAAAAAACATGCATGAAGAAAAATGCAATTACTTGTTTAACATACAATTGTTAATTACTATTAAACTGGGAATAAGCCACAATTAAAGATAAAAATACGTTTATTGACGTTTCAATTTCCACTTCGGAAATCGTTCTCAAAATACAAACAGTAAATTAAACAAAATTTTGTTTTTTGTTACATAGTGAAAAATTCTTCTAATAATTTAATTTTATCTGACTCATTTATATTGACAATTCAGACATACATTATGCATTTTAAAGTAGACGACTTTAAAATGATATTGCCAATATTGTTGAGTTGCGCTCCTGGGACGACTTTACTTATAAGATAGTTCATTCGATTACATGAAATCAACTTTAACTTGATATATCCGTCAGAAAAAAATCATAGCATGTAATTCGTCTTTAAAAAGACAAACTCATGACATGATGACAGTAAAATTCTCCTGTTAGTGATTCCATAGTAAATTATGAGGGAAAAACCAGGAAAAAAACCTCATAATACTATACCGACATTGTAAGTATTTGTTCGTGAATTTAGTTTACCTTCAACAAACATCAAAATTCTGATTTTATATGTTACGTTATTTAAAAAACATAAATGATGTATCCTCTATATGTTACTGACTTACTAATACTGGTATTTTCTTATTAATAACTTCCTCTTTCAATATTGGTAACCAGATCCTACTACATTCTGCCGAGGAATTTGCGACACAAGGATCTGGTGGGATAGTAGGATCTGGTTACCAATATTGAAAGAGGAAGTTATTAATAAGAAAATACCAGTATTAGTAAGTCAGTAACATATAGAGGATACATCATTTATGTTTTTTAAATAACGTAACATATAAAATCAGAATTTTGATGTTTGTTGAAGGTAAACTAAATTCACGAACAAATACTTACAATGTCGGGATAGTATTATGAGGTTTTTTACCTGGTTTTTCCCTCATAATTTACTATGGAATCACTAACAGGAGAATTTTACTGTCATCATGTCATGAGTTTGTCTTTTTAAAGACGAATTACATGCTATGATTTTTTTCTGACGGATATTCTCAAGTTAAAGTTGATTTCATGTAATCGAACGAACTATCTTATAAGTAAAGTCGTCTCAGGAGCGCAACTCAACAATATTGGCAATATCATTTTAAAGTCGTCTACTTTAAAATGCATAATGTATGTCTGAATTGTCTAAATTATTAGAAGAATTTTTCACTATGTAACAAAAAACAAAATTTTATTTTATTTACTGTTTGTATTTTGAGAATGATTTCCGAAGTGGAAATTGAAACGTTAATAAACGTATTTTTATCTTTAATTGTGGCTTATTCCCAGTTTAATAGTAATTAATTTACAATGCCACAAGAAAATAGCTTCAGAACAATATACAATTGTTTATTGCAAATTTCCCAATTTGCAATTAAAAATGGTGTTTGAAATCCTTATCGTCCGAGACATCGATTCAAAAAAGAGCAAAATTGGTTAACAAGAAGCCGAGATAATGCAATTCTTAGTGCGCGCTATGATTTTGAACTCGACGATTCACATTTCGAGTGAATGTCCCCCACCACCACCTCTCATGCATTCCGAGCGACATTTTACGCGAAAACGGTTTTTTATTTGTCTTTTTATGGATGTTTCCATGAAGCGCATTACTTAAAATTTTCATATAGAAAGTACTTCACAGGACGATGGTATTTGTTTAAAAACGAGCCCTTTATCACTTATGGCTACACGGCAAATGTATGCCAACTTTTACCTTCAATATCTCAGCAACCAGTAAGCCGAATGTATTTTTTTAAGAAGCGTCTTTTAATGTTCTTTAAGTGTATAAATTTTAAAATTGATATGTTTAAAGCTCGTAAAGTTATTCAATTTGTTTATAAACCTAAAAAATGTTTAAAACTTTTAAAAAATTTCTAGGCTCTCCTACTGAACCGATTTGAATTTTACAAAAAGCGTTTGAAAGTTTGAGCATTCCTTTATATGTAAAAAAATTTGCAACTATCTGAGGGCCTTATTTAGGGCCTACTATAAATTTGAAAATTTGCGATTTTTTTCCAGTAGGCTTGATTGCAATATTATTATGTAAAACCTATCCGACCGATCTTAACAAAATTTAGTTAGCACACGTTTTAAACATATTAAAAAGTTTTTCTAGGCGGAATATGGAGCTTGCAAGTCAGTTTAGAAAGTCAAAAAAATTTAAAGGATTAACTTCATTTTTTTGTACTTTTTATTTCCAATTATTGCTATTTTTTCAACAGTAAACATTAAATTTTCAATTTCTAGCTAACGAAATATTGTATAAAATTGAATAACGAAACTTTTAACTTCTTATAATTTTTTCTCTAGGATCAATATTTTCCTAATTATAAACGAAAATAGGAACTAAAAAATGTTTTCAGATTTTGTTAAATAAAAAATTTAGCACAGGGTTTGCGACTGGCGCATATGGTGATTATCGATATTGAAGGGATTTCAGCAAAAAAACATCTTCATATGGAAAATGTCCATTATGGTCTGAATTTATACAGATCTCGCCTAGTCTATTAGTTAAACAGTTGTTGCCACATATTTTCTGAACAATAACCTAGTGTTTGGATAACTGAACTAAGATAATTGATCATAGTTTTGGGTTTCAAATGAGGTATTACTTACCATATGATCCCATTCAAAATTTTTTTATGAAATGGCGCCCCTCCGTCAATTTTAATGACTACATTACAAAATTATTAATTTAAGTGAGAGCGCCCACCAAAGTGGCGTGGCAGTGGCAAGTAGCAAGTAGCACGCGTCTAGCATAATATAATCAATCCTAACGAATGATTAGAATGAATAACGTTATTGTCATTTTGGTGTAAACTGAATCATTCGTTTTCATTGGTTACATTATGCTAGACGCGTGCTACTTGCTACTTGCCACTGCCACGCCACTTTGGTGGGCGCTCGCCCTAAGATTGATATTTGACTAACTTGATAACTCGAACGAATCATACAGAATCATGCAGATTTTTTCATGAAATTCATAATTGTATATGTATGACTGAAAAGCAGTTGAAATGAACTTTCAAATGATTTATTACTTATCATATGATCCCTTTTAAAATTATCTTAGGAAAGCATTAGAGGCGTATTGTAGTCATTCGTTCATTTTAATTTGCAATACTATGTTATATGCAAGACATTGTTGCATTTGGTTTATCTTACCTTTCAATTATAATATATGAATAGATATAAAAATAGTTTATACATTATTTTTAGAACTGTTTGTGGGGAGCATCTGGAATGGAACCTACCTCAGAATATAATTCCATGATAATTTATCACCACAATTCGCCTGTTTGGGCAGAGAATGTCAGACTAACTCTCCCTATTGATAAATTTGCTGGAGCTCACGTCCGATTGGAATATAGACATTGTTCAAGTAAGTATGCAGCTTAGAATTGGCAGACGAATTTAAATTATTGCCAATGGCAGCTGATCTTAAAATTCTGTGTGAGTCACAAAAAATGGGACAAATTGTAACTATATGTTCAGAAGCCAAAACAATATTTTACTTAACAATAGTAATAAGATTTGAAAGTATATTATTATTGGGTTTTAAAGACCGTGTCCGATTTTTTTTGTTCCTGACGTTTCATCTGCGACTGTGGCAAACATTATCAAAAGCGGCGAGTGAGAGGACGTAGACGTTTCCTTCAGTCATTGATCTTCCACTAGTATTTATGCTATATGTAGCCATCGTGTACCCTCCGGGTTCTGTCGGTTGGTCGGCTGTAGGCTAGGAAATAAGCAAAAAAAGTACCCTGTTTATGATACTGAACGGGCCAGGCAAACGACAATTGCAAATGTTTATTGCACTCGATTTTTTGGAATTAGTTATTAACAAATAAAGGTCAAACATGATCAATTTTCTCTTTTTTCAAGTAAAAAGTGAAGAATTTGAAACTTTGATAGTAACAAACTTTATTACTCGTTACAAAGTCGAATTAAAAAACTTCAAAATGGCGTTTTTAAATGTTTCTCCCCTTATTTGTTGCTTAGAAAGTGGTTAAATAAGTAAAAAAAAATCGGTTTTATTTTATAAATTTTATAAACTTTTTAAAAAATGATCTTTGAACCTTCATCTGTATCTGTAGAGTAGGGAGGGCGAGTTAAGTTCCACAGCACTTAGGTCACAATTGATCCATTGTGCATCCTCTTAGGGAGCTCTAGGGAGGACAAGTCACCAGGAGACATCTCCCTTATGTGGGCATGTGTGGACCAGGACTCGCCGAACGCGTACTCTTGTATTAACGATAACTCCGGGCATTCACATAGGACATGTTCTACAGTTTCGTCTTCTCGTTCCCACTTCCTGCATAGAGGTGTGTCTTCTATCCCTAATGAGTGGAAGTGTTTGCTTATTTGACAATGACCAGTTAAAAACCAACTGTCAAGCGTAAGTTTTTGCTGGTCATTCGCAAGTACTTCTTTGATGCTAATTCTTCAAGTTTACTTAGTCTACATCCTTCCCTTCTTCCCATTTTTTTACGGTTAGCGTATGGGAGTGACGTTTGACAATTTCCACGATTGTTGTAATGACCAACCAAAAACATCCCCAGGTCGTAAAAGTCTCAGGCCTGCCGCCTTCCTAGCCAATTGGTCAGTAATGCGGTTGCCTTTATTCCTATCGTGTCCTTTAACCCATCTCAGGATGATGGTATTACCCTCCGAAGCTTGAGTTAGTGACTCGTGACACTCCATTACTAACCCTGATGTGACACGCCGTCTATTCAAGGTTGGTAGCGCTTGTCTGGTATCTGTGTAGATTATTATAGTTTTCCCTGGGTTATTTTTTTACGGCTATGGAGATACCAGCCAATTCTCTCTGACTATGAATTTTTGCCCATACCCCACTTTATTCTTAGGTTCAGTGATTTGGAGTATATCCCGCATCCTTCGCCTTCTTCCATTTTGGACACATCGGTGTATATATAATAGGCATTTGCCACATTTGTCTCCCTATACTGTCAGGTCTATTACGATTTTGTAGGGTGTGTCAAAGACAAACTTTGGTTTAATTGAGTTGCAGCCTGCCTGTAGCAGGGATAGCGCATCCAGCTTTCCCCGCCAGAACGAGTTCTCAATTGTCCTATTCCTACATCAAGGTTTGCACCAGCTGAGCGCAGTCGCATCATTGTCACCTGCGCCACCTCTTTGGCATATATGTCTAGAGGCGTGATGCCAATGCCCAATTCTCCATTGCAGCAGTAGGTGTTGTTTTCATGGCACCTGTTATATTTATGCAAGTCATCCGCTGAATATGGTTTAGTTTGTTAATCGCTGTTGCCCGTAGCACTTTTGGTACCCAAATAAAGTTAGCATTAGAACCTTCATATTACACGGATTATTGGATCTTGTAGTGCTTAAAGTATGATCAAAATTTAAAAGCAATCAATTAAATAATTTAGAAGTAATTTTATTTGTTTACCCCAAATTAGTAATCCAGTACCTAATTCTAGGGATAGTTTATTAAAGAAGAAGATTTATTCTATCAATATTATTAAAAAAAAAATTAAAAAAAACGACTTTAAATATTACAAATTCATTTTACAAATATATGTCGATTTTTTGCTTATAAACAATTAGAATGACTTTTTAACTGCTGCCTAAATTAAAATTGTTTTTTTAATTTGGAAAGTTGACATTTTTTACAAATTTAAAACAGAAGAAGGTTGTCCCAGGACAATTTGGGACGAAGTTATTCCCTTTTTTTAAACTGACAGCAGCTTTGTTAATAACGATAATTAAGACATCTAATTAACGACATTTAAAAGAACACACTTTAAAATTTTGATAATTTTGAAAAAGCCTTTATATAGCTGTTAACTATATCTCTGATTCTTGATTACGGATTTTGACGTTTCTTTTTTAATTTGTATGTACATTATTACGTACATTTCGAATATGCATTATTTAAATAAATAAATTAAAATCGTAGGCTTCCACGGCCAGAGTCAGAATTATAGTTTATTCGTCTTCCGTGTTTGGACCGTGTCATTTGTGAGTGACCCAACGGTGGGTTCATCTCGACGTTTCGCTACAATTGTATGTAGCTTCTTCAGGAGAACAAAGAAAAGAAAACAAAAGACTCACAACATCCGAGGATAAAATTCACAATGGAAGTAGAAAATAATCGGTCCCTTCCCTTTCTCAATGTGTTAGTCACCTCCAAGCCCAATGGGCGATTGGGTCACTCTGTTTATAGAAAAAAGACTCACACGAATCGTTACCTACATGCTTCATCACACCACCATCCTGCCCAAAAGAATTCTGTGATCAACTCTCTCATTCATCGGGCCATTTCGATTTCTGAACCTGACAACCTTAGAGAAGAACTTGGCCATCTGCAAAAAACCCTTGTCGCCAACGGTTACTCCAAGTCCACAATTCAAAATATTACACACCGACATCTACATCCCCCTTTACACCCTAGGACGACAAATTCAGAATCTTCGGGTAATACTCCTGTGGTTTTTTTCTTCCGTATATTCGAAGTGTCACCGATAGGATTGGCAAAATTCTTCGCAAAGAAGGTATCAGGACTACTTTTCGACCACCCAAAAAAATCTCACAATATCTACCCTCTCCGAAGGACCCATTACCGCCCCTATCTTCCTGTGGTGTCTATTCTATTCCTTGTTCATGTGGACATGTGTATATTGACGAAACTGGTCGTTCCGTCAAAACTCGGATTCAAGAGCATCAAAGATGCATTCGATCAGGTCTTTTCTCCCATTCTGCAGTTGCAGAACACTGCCAAGAAACCGGTCATTCCATATTGTTCGAAAAAACCCATATTATTTCTAAGAGCCCCTTCTTTTATTCCAGGAAAATCCGCGAATCTCTAGAGATCCGAAAAAATCCCCATAATATCAATCGAGAGGAAGGATACTACTTGTATCCCATCTGGAATCTCAGTCTAGAGCCGCCGTCCGGTCCCGCTACCACGATGCAGCCACATGATTGGCCAGCGCGCGCTTCTTGACGTTCGCGCCACGGAGTGTGCCGATACGTCCCGACACGACAGGTCACCGCGACTATAAATAGAGCGGTAGCGGAGTAATCGTCGGATTCACTCCCCGCCTCTCGACGCGTTAGTGTTCTGAGCTGTTGGACGTGAATCCCTGTCCTGGCATTTGGTTTTCACCTCTGGCTGCGTTGAGTAGTTGAGTTACTGTGACCAAATGCCCATCTTGGTAGTTAGTATTCGCCTCTGGTTGCGTTGAGTAACTGAGTTACCGTTGCTAACTACCCATCTTCCTGTCTTTTGTTTTCTTTTCTTTGTTCTCCTGAAGAGAAGAAGCTACATATAATTGTAGCGAAACGTCGAGATGAACCCACCTTTGAGTCACTCACAAATGACACGATCCAAACCCGGAAGACGAATAAACTATAATAAATAAATTGTTCAATAGACAATCTAATTGGTTTAAACAATTTTTTTCGTCCTTTTTATGTTTTTTACTAATATTTGAGGTAATCTTTATTGTAAAACATAAATATTTACGATTAATATGTACTTCTTCTTCTTCAATAAAGTTCAATAAAAACAAATTATTAACAATTAACAAGAACTTCCCGACGAATACACTGAAATCCTGGAGGAATCTCCATGTTTTCTGTCGTGTTCCGATCCCATTGTATAATTGTACCTGTTCATAGGGAGATAACAGTTACTGCTGCCCTAAACTGTTTCATAAAAAAATCATAAAAAATCATACATCCATAAAAATATCTGAAAAGAACTGTTTTATCAATAATATGACTCTTCTATACCCTCCTTGCGTACCCTTCAGAACAGCTGACCATTACAATCAAATTACATGAGCCTCTGAAGAGACAAAAGATGCCTAAACGGGGCACCCATTCAAATGAAACATCTCGACATCAATCGTCGACAAATACTTTTAGTTGGTGACTCCGACAATTGTTACATTTTCTTTAATAATGCTTCGAAGATGAAACGTCAAGAGACCACCTTTTTAAAGGGAAAATAATATTGCATTAAGAAACACCGAACTGAAAGACTAAGTTTAATATTTGATATTTTGATTATATTTATAAACCAATTAAACTTTAAAATTTAAACTTTTTTTGTCATAAAAAATATAAATTTTAATTTTACACCATGAAACAATTTTAAAATGGTAATTCATGTCCAATATGTTATACAAATCACTTTCATTTTAATATATTTTTAGCGAGAGAAAAGAACGACAAAAAGCTGTTTGGTTTTTCTTTCCTGCGTCTCATGGACAAAGAAGGAGCAGCTGTTCAAGATGGACAACATGACTTGTACATTTATAAATGTGAGGATCCTCCAAAATTAGAAAATTGTGGTTATCTTTCGCTACCTGCATTTGCAAAAGACTTCGAAGGTAATCACGATGCTAGTGGTCAATTCTCGAGGAGTCACAAAGAAATAGTTTCTATCAAAACTCTTCTTTGTTCAACAAAACTTACACAAAACGGTAAGTATTAAGAATATTTAATTAAAAAATATATGTACAATAATATTTCAATTTTAAGTTGGAAATTTACATTAACAATATTTTTTATTGTTATTATGTTGGCGACAATTCTGGCATACTCCTCTCGATCTTGTGTGACTCTAAAGAGTGCATGGGCGTTAAGGTTTGTCCAATCCCTTATATTTTTAAGTCATGAGTATTTCTTTCTTTTTCTTTATTTTCAGAAAAACTACACAATATTAAAATATACAATTTCTGGTATTTTCATAGATTATACATAGTCTAATTTTCACGTGGCTTGAGTAGGTATGAAACAGAAATCAATTATTGCGGAGACTGATCTGCGACATCAACATAACGTAATTTAACAAAATACGAGCCAAAATGATTATTTTGTGCCTTATTGGTGAAAGTGATTTAGAAAGTAAAATCAAGAGATAAGGCTAAATAAGTCTTTCTCGTCTTGCCTTCTCTGTCATCGTTTTATTTAACACTTTATCGCTCTTTATCACTGATTAAGTTCAAAGTCAGAGAGTATAATCAAAAGATAAAGCAAAACAATTTTCTTTCATCTTGCCTTATCTGTCATCGTTTTATTTAAAATTTTTCTCTTTATCGCTCTATTAATTAAGGAATCAGCTAGATAAGCAGACCAAATCATGCAGAAATCTAAAGAAAAATTAACAAATTTCAGTTAATGGTATCATCATCATTAGTGGTGCTACAGCTCTAGTTGAGCCTTGACCTTCCCCAGTCTATTTCGCCAGTCGTTTCTGTTCATCGCCAACCGTTGCCAATTTGCCGCGCCGATTTTCCTTGCGTCCTCGTCCACACCGTCCCTCCATCTCAGTCGTTGTCTGCCTCTACTCCTATTTCCGACTGGGACCGATAATAGAGTTCGTCTGGGTGGGTAATTTTCATTTGCTCTTGACACATGTCCAGCCCATCTAAGCCTACCTATTTTTATGAAGGATATTACATCTCTACCTTTTTTTTATACTTCTCGTACAATTCGAAATTATATCGCCTTCTCCAAATACCATTCTTACAGAATGCGCCCATTATTCTTCTTAGTATCTTCCTTTCGAAGACGAGCAGAAGATTTGCGTCTGTTTTGGAGATGGTCCATGTTTCTGACCCATATGTCAGCACTGGTAGGATGAGTGTTCGATATATTATTAGTTTGGTTTTCTGGCTTAAATTTCTGTTTTTTAGCTGCTTGCTTAGTCCAAAATAACATTTGTTTGCTAGCAGTACCCTCCGTTTAACTTCTTCAGATGTGTCATTATCGTTTGTTATGAGAGAACCCAAATATGTAAACTTATTTACTATCTCAAAATTATATTGGTCTATACTGAAGTTTTGTTCGGCGTTTCCAGCTCTATCTCTGTTATTTGGAATAGATGCTAACATTTTGGTTTTTTCCTCGTTTATTTTAAGGCCCATATTTTGTGCGGCTGTCAAGAAGGTGGAAGTCATCTCTTTAAGTCCTCATGTAGTACGTGCGATCAAATCCAGATCGTCAGCGTAAGCCATAATCTGCGTTGATTTATTAAAGATTGTTTCCCTATTGTGTAACTCGGCATCTCTTATAGTCTTTTCTAACGCTATATTAAAGAGAAGGCACGCCAGCGCGTCTCCCTGTCGTAACTCTGCATATGTTTCAAACGCTTGTGACATATTGCCTTGTATTTGCACTCTGCAGATCACTTTACTCATAGTTGTTTTTACGAGCCTTATTAATTTATGGGGAATGTTAAGTTCATTCATGGCTTCGTATAATTGACCTCTTAGGACGCTACCTTAGTTAATGGTAAACGGAACTAAAACTAGGAAAATGACTATCTCGGACACACTATTCTTAACGCAGTATATAAACAAATAATACTTGATGAAAACATAGACAGGAAACGACGATTGACTCGGAAAAGTAAATCGCGACTGAAAAATAAAAAGGAAATAATCTCATATATACAGCTCAAAACAGGGACAAATTGGCCAAACTCGAAGATGACACAAAGGAGGAAAATAGCTGTCTCTTGTGTGTGCGAGTGGTTCTGTGATGGGAGTCTAGTTATTGATGAATTTTTTTTATCTTTTCCTCCCATTAATTCTATCATTTTGCCAGATTATTATTTTCCATCCAGATGACATTGCTGCGTACATAATAGTGTTGTATTAATTGCGATTTATTCGTTAGTTTTGATTCAAACACTTCAAAGTATTGAACGACCGAATCCCCCTAGTTCATAACAATCCATTAGTATGGTGACAAAAATCTAGTTAGTTGTTATTTGTTTTAAACGGCAACGAAAAATATTGAAACGAACGAACGATTTTAATGATTCGATCATTTTTATAGTCGATCACTGATTGATTCGGTCCTTATAAAATGAACGATTGACACAACCCTAGTACGTAAACAGCAGTTTTAGTTACATCCGGCCTTCTGCGTCCAGAGTTAAACATAGCCCTCCCCTCATTTCTTTCAGTTCTGTCGGTCGTGAGCTTTCTGCAGGCTACTTCCTGCTTCTTTTGTCGGCGTCTGTTCATCGTATAGGTGGTACACTTCTACTTGTACAGATTTTTGATATACGTTTTGTTAATACGGGTTGGTTGACAATGTTTGGTTAAATTTATAGTTTTTGTTCTATTATTTCTTACCTTCTTTTTGTGTGAAATAATTCGTATTATGTAAATACTGATGCGCCTGTCAAATGTGTATTAAATTATAGTCCTTACAATTTATTTTAGGTGTTAAGTGATATATCGTTGGAAGTGCATCTATGATTTTCCTAGTTCTTCAATCTGATGTTAATGTTTTTTTTACTTATACATGTATAATAGACCACATGTTCTTTGGCTGTGCTAAGTTTGAACAAATTGTTAATTGTAGTTAATTCAATTTATTGTTTATACATCATAATCGTATAATGTCCATTTACTTAAGCTTTACATGTCTTTTTAAGGTAACACACGTAACAACTTTTTCATGCTTGTGTGGCTTTTTTCATATTGTTCTTTTTAGATGAACTGATGATGCTTTCTGATTAAGAAAGCGAAACGTTTTTAGTTTTTTAAGACCGGCTATCCTGAATATAAAACAGCCGGTCTTAAAAAACTAAAAACGATCATGTTAGAAAATTCCTTCCCAGCGAAAATTCTAAATAAACTTTTTTTTTGGAGATTTTTGGTGTCTCTCAAGTCATCAGGACAAATCAAACAGAAGTTTCAACAAACAACCAAAATACATTGTACCACTCTTTACCATATATTCCAGGTTTAACAAATAGACTACTAAATACATTTAGGGAAGTACCTAATATCAAAATTGGAACCAGAAATATAAAAACAATATCGAAATTATATACTAAACTTAAAACACCCTTAAATAATAAAGAAAGCTCCAATGTAGTGTACTCTCTACCCTGTAATAATTGTAATAGAGTATATATTGGAGAAACGTCCAGAAATTTGTCCGGAAGATTAACATCTCACAAGAGTGACATTAATCTGAATAAAGTACAAGCCTGTGCATTAAGTGAACATTGTATTACAATGGGCCATACGCCCAACTATGATCAAACAGAAATATTGATAAGGGAAAGAAATTACAACAAAAGACTGTTTCTAGAAATGTGTTTAATTAAAACTACACAAAACACCTTAAACAAAAGAGAAGACATTGAAAATCGTCGTGCTATATACAGTAATCTTCTTTTAATTAAAAGAATAACAATATAAAAGTTCTTAAAAGTTACGCATATTAAAGGGATTATTCCAAGTTTAAATGAGATAAAATTTATTTTTATTTGTGTTTTTTTTTCTTAATTACTTAGTAACATAAACTCTGTTGCTTGTTTAATAACTGCAAACGAAACATTTCTACATATTATATCAAAATTTGCAATGAAGGTTTGCATACACATAGACACTTCCTCTGTCAAACTAACCTAAAATAAATATAAAAAATTGAAGAGACATGTAAACCTTAGTAATAAGTTTTGACAGAACGAAAAAGAGAATCAAATTTAATAATGTCATTATGTTAATTAATTTTGCTAATTTTAAAACACAATCCTCACAAGGGTAAGCCTATTGAAGATATAACAACTTCATTTTTCTAATGTAGTTTTTATGTTAATTTTTAGTACGTTTTGAAACATTTTGAAAGGCCAATATTGACTACTAAACCCAAGATATCCGTATATATTACTCACATGGTCACTAAAGCCCTTTCTAAGAGTATATATATATATACATATATATATATATATATATATATATAATATATATATATATATATATATATATATATATATATATATATATATTTATTTATTCAAAATAATTTGTTCAGATTCTTTGTTCCTATTAATTATGCAACTTTGTACACTGCAACCACCATTCGTTACTTTATTTCAAATTTTATATAGGATATAATCAGTAATTATAAACTGACACTCTTTGTTATTTTTTAAATTTTTAATTAATATTTGTAAATTTGGTTGGTAGGTTACTGATTTTAAATTCTATTATTTTTGCAGTGGATCTACTCGCTTTATTGAGATGGAAATCTCATCCGGAAAGAATACCGGAATCTCTTCACAGGGTGTTGAATTTAGGCGACGAAGAATTTATAAAATTCCTGCAAGACGTCTTAGACGCATTATTCGCACTGTTCTCGACAGAGGATGGAAACTCCACTGCACATAGCGGACCTGTATTCCATGTTTTGGTGTCAATTTTTAATCTTCTGGATGGATCAAAATACCAGTACTTCAAACCAGTATTAGAAGCTTATATTAAGAATCATTTTTCGGCAGCTCTTGTATATAAGTAAGTAATTTGTAATTGTTTTTAGATTTTTTTATGTCATGTTTGATACATTTCTTTATTTAGTACCAATATTAGGTGATTATGAAAAATGTGTGTGTTTTTATTTTATCGATTTCCATTGATTATTGACTATAATAAACTTAGCATAAGATTCTTAGTTTCAATATGTCAAATTTAAGCTATCAATTGTTTAAGTTTATCTAAGTCATTCTGTCATCTGATCTGAATCTGATCATCTTGAGAAGAAATTCCCCTAAATAATTTTAAGATATTTGCAAATAAAACAAAGTCACTATTTTGAAAACATGATGGAATATCATTAATGAATATGTTAAAAATAGATAATGAAAAATTGCTAGATACTTTGATATACTAGATGATATACTAATTTAACGTGACATGTAGAGGTAGTTTTTGAGCTTGAACTACAAAATATAGATTCTTGTATTGATAACTGTTGTTCTGAAGCTATTTTCTTGTGGCATTTTAAATTAATTACTATTTTACTGGGAATAAGCCACAATTAAAGATAAAAATACGTTTATTGACGTTTCAATTTCCACTTCGGAAACCGTTCTCTATTTTTATCTTTAATTGTGGCTTATTCCCAGTTAAATAGTAATTAATTGATAACTGTTTTCCTCAAAAAGTCAAATCGATAGTCTGGTTTATTAATTCTGGTTTATTAATTCTGGTTTATTAATTCTGGTTTGTTTGTATATAAAATAGCCATCTTTTGTCAAACATTCGAACATTTCGTCCAATTTAAACATTTGCAAGACGGTAACTATTTAATAACAGAATTAAAGAATACTTTAATTAATTAATTTTACCCACACGGTGTACACATAATAGACATATGGTGTAGAAATATTTCTTTTATATGTATTTTTATGTTCTAGGGGTCTTCTCACCAGTGTACAACATTGTGCAGATTGGGTTTCATCTTTTGAAAAACAAGAACCGATTCAAAAATGTTTCAAAAGTTTGGAGTATATTTTCAAACTAATCATCCAAAGTAGACTTCTGTTTTCGCGAGCAACCGGAGGTCACTTTGAAGATAGTTTTCGAAGAGACCTTTTCAGCGTTTTTGTGTCTTTGAACAAAATGTTGTCCATAACTGATAACCACATCATTAACACTCAGGTAGATATCTATATGTTGATACCAATTTTTATAAGAGCCTTCGTAAATAAAATTAGAAGTAATTTTTTTTAATTTTGCGTTTGTTAAACAGATATGTTCTTAATTTTTAGGTTGCACTATTAATAACAATCAGTTCTGTATATGAACAGCTAATTGACGTTCTTCCTGCTTTAGAAGTAACTAGACTTGCAGCGAATATGCTAGATTCCTTACCAAGAGATTTGCCTGTTTTATTGATTCAAGCTAAATTATCATGTATTAAAAACATCGTCACTGGTAAACTCTTTCAGGATGATGGTAAGTTCAAAACCAGTGATTTATCAGTGTAAATAATATTTATATTTCACATTTAAATCTAAAGGAGACAAACAACTCTTCAGATGAAGATTAACAGCTCAAAAATTCTCAACTTTTCGTTATGAAGTCCTGTAGTAAAAGTAACTGTCCTATAACAAAAAATTAATGTCATGTAACAAAAAAGACTTTTTTGTCGAATACTAGAGAAACTATCAAAAACGAGTAAAGTACATATCAATTTTTTGGTGAAAATTATAGTTTACACTTACATAAAAAACGATCTCTTTAAAAGGTTAATAAAAATTGATCTTAAATAACTTCTGTTTACAATTTTCTCGAATTAAACTCGGTCATATTATTTCGATTTTCTAATAAAGTCAGCCGACCTTAATACGAAGTTTTTTATTTAAATTTATAAATCATATTCGTCACTAAATTCACTACTGCTATCATTATGTAGGTCTATAATCACTGGATTAATTTCACTAATTTTATTTTCCCGGATCCACCACTCTTCTATAAATTTGTTACACTTATTTACAGTTTTTGCTCATATATCTGGAGTTGCAATTTTAAGAGCTTCTTGCCACATTTCCCTAACTACATCGTCACTGTATCCATTGCATCCAACGTGATTATCATAATACGTTTTACATATACTCCAGATGTGTTCTTCTTCTTCTTCAGATGCAAATCCACTAATGGATGTTAGCGATCACATTTTCCATTAATTCTCTATTTCTTGCAATATGTATCAGAGATTGTATGTCGTTAATCCCTGTCCATTGCTTTATGTTTCGGAGCCAGGACATTTTCTTGCGTCCCATTCCTCTCTTGCCTTCAATTTTACCCTCGATTATAAGTTGGAGGAACTGGTATTTTTCATTTCGCATGATGTGACCTAGATACGCCGTTTTCCTTTTCTTGATGGTTTCGAAAAGTTGGCGTTCTTGGTTTATTCGTTTAAGGACATCTATATTTGTGATTTTCGCTGTCCATGGTATTTTTAGGATGCGGCGATAAAGCCACATTTCGAAAGCTTCCAATCTGTTTATATCCCTCGTTTTGAGTGTCCAGCCCTCTACGCCATATAGCAGCACTGACCACACGTAGCACTTAGTAAACCTTAGTCTCAGTTGAAGATCGAACTCTGAACAAGTCAGTACCTTCTTGAATTTTACGAAAGCTTGTCGAGCTTGCTCAATGCGACATTTTACTTCCCTGTCCGATGCCCAGTCTTCAAAAAGCCACGATCCCAGGTATTTAAATTTACTCACTCTTTCTATGGATTTACTATTCAGTGTTATGGTGGAGTTTTCAAGTGCATCCAAGTTTCTGGAGATGATCATGAATTTGGTCTTTTTGGTATTAATCTCTAGTCCCATTCGCTCACTGTATTCTCCGATTATAGTGACAAGTTGTTGAAGATCGACTATGTTGTCACAAATTAAGACACCATCATCAGCATATCGTATGTTGTTGATCAATACTCCATTCACCTTGATTCCAAACCTCTGCATCCTCCAAAGACTCTTGAAATATGGCTTCCGAATAAATGTTAAATAAAAGAGGGGAAAGCACACATCCCTGTCGAACGCCTCTTATATGTATGGGCTTGGATATAGAATTGTCTATTTTTAGCTGTGCCGTTTGATGCCAGTACAAGTTTTCAATGCATCTTATGTCTTTTTCGTCTATATCAACTTTCTTGAGAATCTGCATTAACTTGTGTTGTTGGACACGATCAAACGCTTTTTGGTAATAAGCATAGAAGCACATCCTTCCTCTGATCGTAACAATTTTGGACCAGCACCTGTGTTGCTACTATTGCTTCTCGTGTTCCTAAACCTTGCCTAAACCCGAACTGGGAATCACTGATGTCCCATTCACATTTTTTGTATAATCTTTGATGTAGTATTTTTAAGAATATCTTTAAAGTGTGACTCATCAGGCTAATGAGTCTGTGATCCTCACATCTTTTTGCATTGACTTTCTTGGGCAGGGGAATAAAGGTAGAGCGTAACCACTGTTGAGGATAGCAGCCAGTTTCATAAATTTAATTAAATATTTTGTGTAGTGCTGAAATTCCCCTTTCATCTAGTAATTTGAGTATTTCTGACGGGATCTCATCTGGTCCAGGTGCCTTATTGTTTTTTGAATTTAATATTGCTTTTTCTATCTCCTCTTTGGTGATTGAAGGGCCAGTCAGCTGGTCGTCTGTATAAACTTCGCTCATGGGTCTTTCGTCATGGAAGAGCTCCTGGATATAATTTTCCTATATTTTCTCCTTTTCACCCAGCACTATCTGGTTATCCTGATTAACTATGGTAGTTGGTCTTCGTTTTCTGTATATTCCAGCAGTCTCCTTAAACTTTTTATGTAAATTACGGTCGTCGTGCTGTCTTTGTAAATGTTCTAGATCGATACATTGTTGCTTAAGCCATTCATTTTTTGCTATTCTTATTTTTGCTTTTATTTGCCTGTTAATGTTTTCATACATATTGCTGCCATCTTGGTTATTCTTGTGTCTTCGTCGTTCTTCCATTAGTAATAGTATTTCTTCTGTCATCCATTTTTGCCTCTTGTTATTTCGTTTGTACCCTAAGTTGTTTTTCATGATGTCTGTTACAGCACTTGTAATCGTATTCCATGTTGGTGTTAGATCTTCGGTAATGTTTGTCGTTAATATTTGAATTTGTGCGTTTATTTCATTGCTTATTTCTGCTTGTATCACTGGGTCTTTCAGTTTATCCAGTGCTATCTGTTGTTGAGTTTCAGGCTTGTTCTTGCATGAAAGAGCGATCTTTATGACGGCCACTAATAGTACGTGGTCAGAAGGGACATCTGCTCCAGGGTATGTGCAAGCTCTTTTGACAGTTGTGCTGAATCTACCGTTTATAAGAATGAAGTCTATCTGGTTTCTTATTATGTTATGAGCTCTATCGGCTGGAGATTTCCAAGTATATAGGCGTCGAGGGTGGAGTTGGAACCATGTGTTGGTAACTCTCATGTTTTCTTCTTGACAAAATTGTATAAGTCGGTCGCCCCTTTCGTTCCTTGTTCCAAGACCATAGGGTCCAACTATGTCTTCAAAGCTGCCCTTCCCTATTTTGGAATTAAAATCTCCCATAATTATGTTGACATCATGTTTCTTTGTCAATTTAAGTAGTTCTTTGATTTCACTATAAAAGTTTTCTACTACTTCATCTGATGCGTCTGTAGTTGGTGCATAAACCTGTATGATGTTGAGATTATTTGGTTTGGCTTCAAGTTTTACTAAGGCTGTGCGGTCGGAATATGGTACAAACTCTGTGACAGCTCTCACCAATCTTTTAGTTATCATAATCCCGACACCTTTTCTATGATCGCGGTCATAATTGCCTGAGTAAAAGAATGTTCCGCTTTCTGTAGTGCATTTACCGGATCCAGGCCACCAGGTTTCTGAGATCCCAAGAATATCTAGATCTAATCTGCTCATTTCTTGAGTTAGGTTAGCCAGCTTCCCGGCTTCAAATAAGCTGCGTGTATTCCAGGTGCCTATCTTTAATGTCTTTCTTAAGTTTGCTCGTACGTTTGAAACATTCAAGACCGCTCCCCCCGGAGATCCGATTGGGGAACTATTTATACCTCCGGATAATTTTGAGTTGAATGTATTCATGTGATTGTCTTGGGAAATATAATGAAGGTGGTATCCCGTTGCCTTCCTTGCCGCTTCAGGGCTTAGTTTTCAGCCGCCCACTATGGAACAGACGCCGTTTGCAACCGCCCATTCTGGGTACAGACGTTGCTATTTTCACCATATCTGGTTACCCTCACTTAGTTTAGCCTGCAGACCAATGCAGTTGCCCAAGGTGTGGCACGTGGAGCCATAAGTGAGAGTTGGGTGTCTTATAAGGACCAGTAATCAAGAACCATCTCCCGTCTATGACGCTCGATGTGGTCGTTCCGATAAAAGGTACTACCTCTATAACACAACCCTACACCCCCAGATGTGTTCAATGGGTAAACTGGAAGTGATATGGCGGTAACCGTAGTACTTGATGTCCATATAAACTATATAAACTGTTGGTTTTTCATTACGTTTCGAAATTTCCAGTAACTGTTATTTGAAGGCGTATTCCGGAAAATTGATATTATTTTTAACTAACCAATTTTTTATGCTGGGTACGTTCCACGACTGTTTTGGTTGTTTTTCCAAAATCTCTGAATGGTAAGGTCCATTATCTAAAAATATAAATGATTGGTTACTCAGACGAGGTAACAGTTTCTCTTCAAGCCATTTAACAAACATATCTGCATTCATATTTTCATGGTAATCAGCAGATTTTGATTTTGAAGAAAACATCAAATCTGCGTTTTCTATAAAGAGTTCTTTCTCTCCTACATGAAGAATGATGTGTCTTTTGCCTTTGCTATTTGTGTGTTTGATTGATTTTATGCTGTCCTCTTGCCAAATTCTTTTAATTCCACCCTTTGCAAATATCCATGTCTCATCTAAGTATACGAATGTTGCATTTTAAGATTTAAGTCTAGTATATTCTCTCAAAAATTTAATTCTTTTGTGAACCACACTACTTCTTTCGTATAGAAGTAACCTATTATTTTCTTTTTTGAATTTAAATCCTAAATCTCTAAACACTTTACAAAGGCTAGTCCTCTTAATTTCAGAAACTTGTCGTTCTGTTATTTTGGCCAGTAAAGTTTCTAAACTGGCTGTTGATTGTTTTCACGCATTCAAACATTGCGAATTTCAAAATTTTTCTTCATCAGGTAGGTCATGCTCCTAGAATGTTTACGAGTTGTTATCTTATCTTCGTGATACTCAGTCACACTAAGATCTTCTTGAGAATATCTGACAGTCTTCATTAGTTTTTAACTTACTTTCACTTATCCCCAGTGCGCCACAAACGCGTTGATTTATACGTAATAATAACTTTAAAGGTCCACCATTGTCTCTTTCCATGGGAAAGTATTTATGCACATTTGCAATTAATTCATCAATATCCAACTTACGTCTAGGCATGATGGTAACTTGAAAGTACACGTTTGAATTACAATATACTAAGTTTAGATGAATATGACAGAAACTTTCTAACTATTGTGCTTAAGAGGTAAAAGATAATATAACCGCTTTCAAAGATCCTAAACACATTAAGCAAATTAGCCTAATGATCGTTAGAAATGCGATTGTAATTTAATTATGTTTGATAAAAAATTTAGAAATGGTTGTAAACTATACATAAACAAATTAAAATGTTTTCCACGATTATTTTATTTGTAGTACAAGTATTTTCATTTGAAAATAAAAAGTTAAATATATTTACCAAAACCCTAACTTTAACCCCTAATCGCGCACGTCTCAAAAACGATACATTCTAACAAACATATGGTCAATTTAACCACCACTATTTAAATTGACAAAATGTTCTAGTTTCTTCTTCAAGTGCCATCTCCGCGATGGAGGTCGCAATCATCATACCTATTCGGACTTTTGAGACGGCTGCTCTGAAAAGTTCATTTGATGTACATCCGTACCACTCTCGCAGGTTGCGCAGCCACGACATTCTACGCCCCCCTATGCTTCTTTTTCCTTGGATTTTTCCCGGCATAATCAGTTGGAGCAAGGTGTATTTCTCTCCACGTGTAATATGTCCGAGATATTCCAATTTTCTTGTTTTAATTGTATTATTTCTTTATTCATCCTTCTCAGAACCTCTTTGTTTGTGACGTGTTCTGTCCACGATATTTTCAGAATTCTTCTATACACCCACAGCTCGAATGATTCTATGATGTTTTTTCATTGATATCGCATTCAAGGTCCACGATTCCATTCCATAAAACAAAGTCGAAAAAACATAGCTCCCCGCCAACCTAACTCTTAGTTCCATTTTTAAATCCCTTATTATTCTGATTTTGATTTCCTGAATGTAATAATTTGTGGAATTGTAATTATTGTTCCCAGATATGCATATTTGTCCACATGTCCGACGTTGGTTCCGTTTATTAGAAGATTCTCGTTATTTATTTGAGTTTTCGATATTCTCATAAATTTCGTCTTTTTAACGTTGACATTGTTAGACCTTCTGGTCACCAGTCTCTGAAGATCTTCAATATTTTCGGCTAAGATCACAATGTCGTTAATGTTGTTAATGGGAACTCCATTTACCTTTATTCCAGCTGTTTCACTCTCAAGAGATTTTTTCAGGATCTCTTCGGAGTAGGCATTAAAAGGAATTGGCGTCAATACGCATCCCTGTCTCACTCCACGTCTAATTTCAATTTCTTCTGACGGCTGTTCGTTAACACATACTTTTGCTCGCTGTTTATAGTATAAATTTGATATGATCCTGAGGTCGTTGTGGTCAATCTTCTTTGATTTGAATGCTGTATTATAGTCAATAACACATGCGTATATATCGTGATTGACGTCCAGGCATCTTTCTTCTAGTTCTAGTTTACTCCGAAGTATTTTTTAACAAAAATTAAAAGTGATATTTTAGTAGTTTGTATATCTACTTTAAATATAAATTATCCTTAGCACGGTAGTATTTGTTTCAGAAAAAATTATTAAACAAGTAGGTGAAAGAAATTTACGTTAAATAACTTTATGCAAGAATACTGTTTATTAAAAAAATGTAACAAAATATGCAAAACTATGAACAACGGGTTAATGACACATATTTATTTTATACCTAAAATTTAGCAAAGTGTTAAATATTATGGAGAACACTATTGCAGTTTACCGTGCCTTTTACTGTAACGAAATGTTTTCTGCGAATTCCATTAATCATTTAGAGGTGTAAGTTGGTTGAATGTTTATCTAATCCTTTTTCTTTATTTATTTTCTATATTTCTTTCTCATTTCTCGGTGTATTTTTTAATTCTTGTTCATTACAACTCACAATTATCTCGCCTCTATATGGTTTTAAACAGTGCCGGGTGCGATAGCCTTATCCCACAACGACAAAAACTATTCTACGCTCGTGACCAAATTTTCTGTGAAAGGACTAATTGTTATAATTGTATCATCATATTTTTGTAATAGTAACAATGTTGTATATTTATTTCAGAATCTCGTAACATTCTTCTTGCGACAACGTGCAAACATTTAAGGTACCACTTGATAAGAAGGGAAGAACTAAAACTTTGTACAGATATACTCGGGGAAATCTTAGGTTACTTGTTTAAGCAACGAAAGTCTGGAGATGAACATGGAAAAGTCAATAACTGTATACACCATGATGTTGATACTCTGTGTGTAGCTATCCTCGAAGTCCTCATTCAAACTATTTTAACTAGTATTGACAAGGATGTTAAAGTTTTTGTAAGTAGATTGCTAAAATACTTTAGAACGTTATCAGCGTACAATAATAACATATTTTGTTTATATTTAACTACATTTTTTGGAAAATTTTAATTACGTTATATACTTTAATTTTTTATTTATTTTAGGGATGTTTAGTGGCATGTTTGATCGGAATACTCCAACTCATTGACGAATTTCATTACAAAAGACTATGGGAAGTTGTAATGGGACCTCATCAAGATAGAAAACCACTCAAAGATTTTCTCCTTAGAGCTTTTTTAGTATTTAGAAATCTTGTAAGAATGGAGGTATTTCCTCCCGATTGGCTAGTCATAAAAATGTTGACCAATAATGTGATTTTGAAGGCACTCCAAGAGTTTGCTCAACCGTTAGCTTTTAAGTTTTTAGATAATCGTGCTGGATACTTCGATAAAGAAGTAAGTTTTTGTTTGGTACTGTTGTAGATAGTTATTAATAATAAATATTTTAGCTGTGGACCAACTATTTCAATTTAAGTGTTGACTACCTGACTCAAGAGTCGTTACAATTAGAACAGTTTTCAGAAGTAAAAAGAGAAAAGATAATAGAAAAATATGGAGATATGAGAGTTCTTATGGGATTTCAGATTTTATCTATGTGGTCTCAGTTAGGTAATTGTTTTATATATTTTTCATGTTATAGTTTGATACTTTATTTATGTTGGCTCAAAATGCTGGTCTTTGACAGAATTCTATAAATATATTGAACTATAATACACTACACAACTGAAATATACTACACTGTATAATATATATTCATTACTTTTACCCTATTTATTTAGTTTTTAATTACAAAATACTGCACTGGACTCGATTAGACTAAACATAAAATTATAATGAGTACGTTCACCAGCTTTTAGTAGTTGACTTTAAGCGCAAAGCGGCTTAGTGGTTGTAAAGGGACAATGTATGCATGCAACATGCATTTAAAACGTAACCAAAGCCTTTATTATATGCAATATGCATTTATATATGCACTTTAAGAAAATATTTTTTAATTTTTAGGGCTTGAGATTTGGTGAGAAATAAAATTATATTTTAACCTAGAGAGTGTTTATTTATTACTACATTTAATAAAAAAATATAAATGAAAATTCACAAGAAAATGTCCTCGTTCTCAAATCATAATATCGCACTCCGAGAATAAAAGTGACACTATGCAAAAAAGTAAAATTTTCAGTACGATCATTTATAAATTTTTCAAATAATGAACGAATTTTATCTCTGGACAGGTAATTTAAAACAAATTGATTTTTTTATGTGCTCATATTTATTTATTGTACTTGGGAATGCTGAATATATTATCAGCATACAGATTAAAATTGTTGCCTAAAAAAAATCATTAAAGATTTATTTAGCATAGTGTCACTTATAAATTGTAATAAAATTTGAAACTTTACTGATTATGTCATTTTTCAATGTGTAATTACAAATAAAAGAGAGAAAAGGTTGTTTATGTTTTATTATTATCTTAGTCTTATCTAATAAAAAAAAAAGAAAACATTCCTATAAAATAAAAAACTCAAACAATAGGCACTTTTTTAGTAGGTAATCACATTTTCGTCTGTATTATTTTGATTTTTTTCTTTTTTATGAATTTTTAATACTAGGTACCTACTCAACAATTTTACAAAATATTACCATAAAAAGAATTGACATAAAATTGTGGAATGAGATTTTGTTGAATCAAAGACTTGATGTCATTTTTTTTTCTGTCAGTTAAGAGTAGTCTCTTGCTGTATAAAGGTTGAAGGCATTGCGATGACACACTGTTCTGTCGCGTTTGCAGTTTAGTGTATCGTATTTCCTTGTACACATCGAAATAAGATGTTTTGTATAGGACTGTTAGGTCACCTTCATCATTTTTATGGATTTTAATCACCTTGATATCGGCAAATTTGACAGTTTCACCATTAATATTTTTAGTCAAGTTTATTTGGCCAACGAGCTGTTTAATGTTATAAAAATCAGAATATGCCATTTCGTTTACTTTGTATGGCGTTCCCTTTTTTTTTGCATTTCTAATTGCCATTATGTATTGGGATGGTACGTAAATAGGACCACTCTTAAGATTTCTTTTTATTTCTTTTTCAATTAATGAGTGTACTGAGTCGCCCTCGTTCTGGGTATGCCCACGTATAAGAAATTTATGAGTGATGGATTTAATATTACTCAGATTTTTCACTGCGTACATGTACATGGCAACAACGAATTGATTTTTTTGTTGTCCTCCACAGTTGTCGGAATAAAAAATGACGTCCAAGTTACGAGATTGCGTGTTTTCATTTTTTTTCTGCAAATATTTATAAACACATGTGCCGATTTCGTTTGGTCCTTTCTGTGCTTCTGTTTCGTTCCAGAAATAACATTCTGTTGAGCCATTTTTCAGTTCCGTTATAGTAAAATTAAGTGAGTTTATTTTACTTTTATAATAAAATATGGATATGTCTCCCCTGGGACAGGGTAACACTGCTTGTAGATCATAGCAAGCTACTACTACATCATTACTTATCTTCTCTTTGTCAGCATTCTTCTCTTCTCTGCTTTTTTTTCTTTTTCTCGGAGATGATTCTCGTATTTGTCTTTCATTTCATCCTTGGCTATTCCTTGGGCCAGATTGTAAGATGAACAGAGATCACATTGATCTTTCTTTGGTACGAAAAATCCTATATTAAACTTAGTATTGAATATCCTCCTATAAGCATGTTCTTTGACAAATTGTATGTTATTTCTTTCAGATTCTTCTTTGTAATCTCTGTAAAGGTCCATTAAACTCTTGCTACCATCAATGAATTCTCTTTTTGTTTGCTGCCTCAAATAGTGGCTTTCTATTCTCGGTATACTATTGATATGCTTTTCCACTGCTAAAATAAGTTCGGGATGAATTTGTGGTCTTCCGTGCAAGCCACGTTTTTCATCCTCTATCACACCGGAATGATCAAGCTTTGAGAGAACAGTGCGAATGGGTCTGTCGTTAATAGAGAGTGTATTTTTAAAAAACGTTTTGCACACTTTCAACCGTTCTTCTTGAGTTTGCAGATAAAATGCGTGTTTCGGCTTTCGGTTGCTGTCAATTTTCTTATACTGGTATTTGGGGGTTATAACCATCATACTTCTAGCTAAAAATTCCCTCTGACGAATCAGGGATCCCATACCCCAATATGATTTGAAAATTGTTTGACGAACATCTTCTGGTATTTTTTCCCTGCACTTTAGGCGACAGTGATTTCCACATGGAGGCAGCATTTTTCTGGCGGGTATTTCTTTCTTTGTCGAAGATGTGGACGTGTATGCTTGTCCAGCATTACGGAGATTTTGTGCGATCTTTCTGATATTTTGTCGGCGAATACGTCTTTTAGATGATTTTAAAATTGGTGTCGCTTGCGCTTCGGAGTTTAGTATGTTGGGCTGATTTTCGACATTATTATCAGTAGTTGAAGAGGACGAAGAAGTACAAGATGATGAACTTGAAGACGAGGAATCCAAAGATGAAGATGATAGCGACCGCCTCTTTTTTTTAGGCGGACAATACTCGTTGTCGTCATCGGAAGCTGGAGAAAAATCTCCATTACTTTCTTCTTCATTATTCTCAATTACTGTATCCGTATTTGAATTCGAATTGGAGTGTAATTCTTGAATTTGTGGCTTCAGTCCTGTTTCTATAGTCTCTGGTACACTTTTCTCTAGATAATACGTCTTGTCGTCATTTGGAGGTAAATCTTTGGTGTTGTTATCAATTATTTGACTTTGAGTAGATGGTGAATTTGATCTCTGAGGAATTTGTTTGCTACATTCCAGGCGGCAGAGATTTGCACATGAGGTCAGCATTTTTATTGCAGGCATATCCGTATTTGTCGAAGTTGTAGATGTGTACAGCTGTCCAGCATTACAAAGATTTTTTGGGATCTTTCTGTGTTTTGGGCTTTTAGCTGATTTTGAAATTTTCGTCGCTTGTGCTTCGGTATCTACTACATTGGGCTGATTTTCCTCATTATTATCAGAAGTTAAAGAAGACGAAGAAGAGCTAGATGATGATTTTGAAGACGAGGTATCCGACGACGAGGAATCCGAAGACGAAGAATCCGAAGACGAAGACGAAGATAGCGATCGCATCTTGTTTTTAGGCGGACAATTCTTCTTGTCGTCATGAGAAGCTGGAGAATAATCTTCATTGCTTTTTTCTCCATTATTCTCAATTACTTTATCCTGATTTGGCGATTTTGATTGTAATACTTGATTTTGTGTCTTCAGTCCTGTTTTTACAGTCACTGGTAGGCTTTCTTCTAAATATGTCTTGTCATTATTTGGAGGTTCCATAGTCTTTGGTACGCTGTCTTCCTGATAACATGTCTTGTCATTTGAAGGTATATTTTCGCTGTTGTTATCAATAATTTGATTCAGAATTGATGGTGACTTTGAATGTGTTCGTTGAATTCGAGTTTGCAATTCTGTATGTATAGTCTCTGGTACACAATCTTCTGGACAATATGCTTTGTCATCATCCGGAGGTAAATCTTCGCCGTCATTTCCAGTTATTTGCTCCTGATTTGATGGAGAATTTAAATGTAATGTTTGTGTTTCTTGATTCGTTTCTGTAATCGCTGATGGTGGTACACTTGTTGCATAATTTGGTAATATGGGTTGACTAATTTTATTTTCTGGTATGACTTCGCCTTTGCATAATTCCAAAATTTTCTCAATCCTGCATCGTCGTTTTGCGTCGTCGTTCCTGTGTCGTCGCATTGCTAATCAGAAATGATTGCTCTTTACAAAATCTGAAAAAAAGGGAAAGCAATTAGACATAATGAAATACCAACAGAGCCTATTTTACTTCAAATCAGGCCTGAGGCGCTACACAATTTTTGGGTCCCTAAATACAATTTAATAATAATATAAATATAGTTGCACCAGAAATTTAAATTTTTATTAAGAATAAATAAAATTTATATTTAAACAATTAAACATTGTTTAATTGTTTAAATATAAATTTTTAAACATACTTTGCCAAAGGGTATAGTTAAATAAATTTTAAGCAACATTTCTACATTTGTAAACGTCGATATTATGATGTAATTTCCAATAAAAAAGGTCATCATACTTTGCGGATTTTGTAAGATATTAGATGTGCTTCAAAGTTATTTAAAATTTGTCACTTTTTAACTATATGATCAACATCGATATCGTTATTATAATATTGCAATAATTTTTTGTAGTGATCTTTCCAAGCCTCATTAAAATGCAGCTCCAAGGCAGGTGCCTCATATGGGGCTAGTGGTAGCATAGGCCCTGAATAACAATAGTTATTCATGGCCTATGAGCCTGACAGTTATTCAGGGCCTGGAGACAAGTACCTAAAGGCTAATTTAGACTTAAAATAAATGCCAGTGTTAATACCAAATAATAAGAGTTAGAACATTATTAGCTAATTCTAATATGAACAGAAAGCACAATTCTCAAGACGTTTGATAGACGTCTATTGACATCAATGTCAATAGACGTTTAACGACATGTAGGTGTCGAACAAATTTTTAAATAGTAAGAAATGACACCATACCAAAAATTTTAATCAATTTTTACTTTAAAGTAACTAGAATTGAAAAAAAAAAATTACATTAAATTTATTATGTCAATTTACAATAAATCATGCTTGTATATCTTCAAAATTCATTAATGGATAAGTGACCTTAAAAAAAAAGAACGTTAAGAAATAATTGTTACTCACCGATGAATTACTAGTATATGACACTAAAACAATTCTGTCATTTCTTCAATGTGGCTTCTGTTAGGTTTGCTCTCATTAGTTACTTCAAAACGACACTTAACAAATAATGTCACTTTGCAACGCAGACGTTGTGTAGTTCCACTCGAATATGTACTTCCAAACGACACTAAACAAATATTGTCACTTTGCAACGCAGACGTTGTGTAGTTCCACTCGGATCAGTTACTTCAAAACGACACTAAACAAATAATGTCACTTTGCAATGCAGACTTCACGTGGTTCCACTCTGGAGAATCAGACACTACTAACTTAGTGTCATTATTACATCATACGCGATCACTGTACAGGTTGTAATGCAAGATGACATTTTTGCGCCATCTATCGGTAACTGATGTAACAAAAAAACGAGCTATCTCGCATGCAGAGTTTATGATGAATGCTACTAGATGGCAGTAAATACACAAAATCCAGTGATTTCGTTTAGTGTCACTTTTATTCTCAGGGTGCGATATGTTCAATATTTTCAAGAGTAATGTTATGCCTTCTATCAGTGAATGTGTGATTTATATGAGGAAAACCATCTTTCAACATCACATGATGGAATTGGCGCATATCTAAAATTTGACACTTGCGAGGGATCGATATTAATAACTTCGCTAAAGCTTCCATTGATTATGTTATTTATTGATTGCAATAAAGCCTTCATTCCGGTTTAAAACTTCACTAAATTTATCTTAATTTTTTTTATATTGTCCCTGAAAGGTTTACTATTCTATCTTTGATATAATCAACAATACAAATACTATCATTTAAAGATAATTTATGACTCACTAGTTTTGTAATAGAGTTTACAATTATGTCAAAATTTGCTGTTATATAGGACAGTTCACTCTGAACAAATTTCTCACTAAAAATATTTTGACATTTCTGAATAGCAATACAACAAGAAGGATCAAAATTTGATATAACATTTTTGATATCAATATAATTATTTGCAAGGAATATGGCACTATTCAACCACGTCCCCCATGTAGTCAACACTGGTTCCGGTGGCATAGGGATATCGGGAAGCATCTCCCTATATCTTCTACTCGTAATAGTGCTTGTAAAAATACTTTCTTTACATTGTTGATTAAAGTGTTTAGACCATGCTAAGCATGTACAATGAATCAAATTCGGAAAAAAAATCTTAAGACTAGTAACAGCTTTAACCATGTAGGAAGCGGCATCGCTAACTAGTAGCAAATTTTTTTCAGAAGGTACTTGATTCGGTAAAAAGAAATTTGTCAAAGATTCATTAACAAATCGAGCAATTGTTGGTTTTTTCTAAACATTTTACGCTGATTAAATATGACTTGTTGGAGTCATCAGCTGAACTGTTTAAAACTCTAATAATTAAATTCGTGATTTGCCGACCCTTGTCGTCAGTAGTCTCGTCGACAGATATCCACAGATATTCATCTCCTATTCGGATTTTAATACCTTCAATAAGTCTTTGTAAGATGCCCTCACATATTTCTTGCGATGATTTGAAGAACTTGGTACATGTACCGACTTATTTTCAACTTTACAATAATATGTTTTTAAAAAATTTTGACACACCTTGCTATCCAATTTATACAGTGGGATTTTGCAGCTTACAAAAAAATTGCATACATCTTTTGCAAACATTTCTTGCCCCGTCGATGTGTGACGATTTTGAATAATGTTGTTCTGCAGAAGCTGCTGGCGTGGTTTCTGGAAAACCTTAGATAGTTTATATTGGTGGAGAGCCGTTTTCAGGTGTTGGGAAATTTGAAATTTTTTTTCACATGGAATCTGTAATAAAACGGTTTAGTAAATAGGAGTCTAATGCAATAATATGGACTTAAAATTTTTAAGATAACTTATATTTTTTTTCTCGAAACCTAAACTGCCGCCAATAGTCAAACTGTTACATGTTTAGTATAGGTAAGCCGATTTTCTTGCAAAAATGAAATTTTAAATTAAATTTTTGAATCGTTAAAATATAAGTGGACTCACCTTTTTATCACAAATAGTACAGAAAACACTTTCATTGTCTATACTCTTCATTTCACTGTTGCCACCACACCAACCCAACTCCGCAGTAGATTTGATGTTTGTTTCGCTACTTTCGGCATATTTTCAAAAAAGAAATTATTTTTATTTTATAAGCACAATATTCACAATCTTTGCCAGCTGGTAAAGAGAATTTAAAAACGAATTTACTGTATAATACCTACCTGCATCTTGGCCCTATTCTTCTGATAAATAATTCCCAGATGGGTTTTTCCAAACAATAAAACTTGTTGATTTAGTAGATATTTGTAATAAAATTATTTCGTAGGTACCTTAACTAGTACCTGCTATGAATAATTCCAAGAAACTATTATCTAAATATGTATAGAAAACCATTTTATTTATGTGATATTTTCAAATATGTAGCAATATGCTCTTAATCAAGTAAATATGAGTAGCATATGTATTTATAAAGAAACCCACAAATATGCACATGCATTTTACATATAATCCAGTCTCTACTTATAACCATAGAGGAAAGCTATATATTAACATGTTAATATATACGTCTATGCTTATAACCAGCACAAAAAAACATTCTGAACGCTTTTGTCTCGACATTTCATTTCATGTTTGACGTTTTGACAAATCTAACCTCGATATGTATTTGCATAAATACTACTATAAATAAATATTCTCGTTCAGTACTAAAATGTACTTTCATTATTGCATTGTAAATCCATTTTTTAGATCAATCGAAATTTTTAATTAAAAACACAAAACCATGCCCAAAAGTTCATCCAGCAGAAATAAAGTACGCTTAGAAAATTTCACAGCGGCTTGTCATCGAAGCGACTGAACGTTACCGCTTAGTAGCATTCCAGTCGACGACCTCTGTATGTTTTACATACTGACCGCTACACAAAACGGATACTACATCTTCCTTACCGAAGATACCAGCCAACTAAACGAAAGAGATTTATGATCAAAATTTAAAAGTGAAATTACATTTATGATCAAAATTTAAAAGTGAAATTACCAGTGATTGGCTGTATAACCTAGTTTAAAAGAAACTTAATAAATAAGTAAAAACTTCCTTTTGTAAAATGGTATAAATATTTTATTAAAATTTTTAAAATTATCCAAGATGGATTTATAAATTTTCAGAACATTTTCGATCCTATCAGATCATCATCAGTGAAACCCCTACAAATAAGTATAACCACGTAGAAATAAAAAAAAGGTAAAATTTTGACTGTTAAATTAAAAATGTGGTTAATACTAATTGTCATCAGAGGCAATTTGGTAGCCCGACGCTATATTCAGAAAGTAGTGGAGGTTTATCTTTTACCAGACCTAAACACTATCTAAAATCCAATTTTTCAACAATACAAAATCGCATCTTGCCAGAGAATCGTTTGCCTTCATGGATCAACATGACATCAACCATTTACATTGGTCACCCCTATCTTCTGATCTGTCTCCAATTGAACATGTCTGGGACATGATAGATAACCGACTCTTAAATTTGCAGTAGCCTCCACAGAATTTAGCAGCTTTTACGTACAGGATCTTTGCCATTGATCCTTTGCTATTGCGCCTTTAATCGAATAGGATATCGACCACCTCATGAGAAAGATGCCCAGGCGTGTCAATGAGTGTAAGAACTCATGGATCCTCAACACATTCTTGAACCAGCTTCTGCAGTAAGTTGATGAATCAAGCTGAAAATTTAATCATTTTACTAGTGAGGGATACTGAGCGTGAATACCAAAAAATATGAATCGCATAAATATATGTAGATAGGTGTTTTTTTCTCCTCCTTTTTTTAACTCAGTATATTTATCACATGTTACTGCAGATTAACAGTAAAAATTTAACCCCTTTTTATTCATTATATTAACGTCGAAATATATACCATTTCCCTGATGATGGTCTGATAAGGACGAAAACGTTTTGAAAATTGTAATCCGTTTGGCTATTATCATTTTTAGGAAAAAGTTTTAAATATATACACCAGAAGTTTTTACATATATATTGTACACCAGAATTGTTTACTTCACTGTAAGTTTTTTTAAACTATGGTATACATCCAATCACTGGGATCCTTCCCTTTTATAAGTTAAAATAATAATATCTTATACTATTCAAAGAAATCAATTACAATAATAATTTATGATAGACCATTGCTACCTAGTAGGCATATCACCTAGGCTTGCAATTGTTATTACTTTTATTATTACTCATTATTATTATTACTAATTTTTTTTCAGGTGAATTTAAACTTCATTTTATTCCGTCGATGGTGGGTCCTTTCTTAGAAGTTACATTAGTACCTGAAATAGAACTTAGGAAGGCAACTTTGCATATATTTTTCGATATGATGGAATGTGAACAAAAAGCTAGGGGTAATTTCAAACAGGTGGAATGCGAATTAATTGACAAATTAGATATATTGATCTCAGAAAACAAAGGTGATGATGAATATAGGCGATTATTTAATACAATGTAAGTATATTCTTTAAATTTTTACATTGTTCGTTATCTCATCATATTGGTATCAAATTTCTTTCGAAGCGTGATTATGATAGCCAGGCCATTTTCCTAACGATTATTAGCGGCGGCCATACTCTTATTGTAGGGGAGGGGCCAGATTTTAGCATTATTTTTCAGTATGGAATATTTTCAAGATATTTCAATATTTTTTGACTGATAATGCACAAATCGATAGTTGTATCTATGAGCTTTGAATATTTATGAAAATATGAATAACCCACGGAAACATAAAAAAAATCAAATTTTCTTCAACGGTACATTTGTCAAATTGTGCCACACCATGGTACACCAGTACATTTGTCAAATTGTGCACCACCATGGTTTGTACAGCTATGGTGCACAATTTATAACATTTGGACAATTTATGAAAGCATCTGTTTTAGCCTTGACAAAAAAAAACAAAAAAGTTATTGAATGTTATAAGGAAAAAATGAGGTAATAGTTTATCAAAAGTATTAAAAGCTATGGGTTTTAGATACAAAAAACCAATAATCGTAAAGTGTTGTGCGAGCTGTCCAATGTTGTTGGAAAAAGCTGGAAAATTATAAGAAACCATTTAAAAAACAAGAATTCCGAATTTGCCAGACAATTTGTGTTTCTTGACTAAACGTGGATTTTTGCGAAAGGAAATAATACCTAATCATCCTTGCAAGATGATTTTACCAAATGCTATTCGAGTACTAGTGCGAGTAATGGCAAAAGATATATTATATTGCATGCAGGAAATACGGAAGGTTTTATACCCAATGCTAGTCTTATATTTTCTTCGAAAAAAAAACTGATGATTACTGCGGAAATATGGACGCCGATATTTTGAACATTGGTTTGAGGAAAAATTTTAAAAAAATCTGGAAAATCCGTCATTAATAGTCTTAGACAATGCTTCGTATCAAACCAGCGAGGAGGAAAAGTTTTCCACAAGCAGCTGGAAAAAAGAAGACGTAAGAAAGTGACTGTCGGAGAAAAATATAGAACACGAAAATCTAGTTTTAAAAGTTGAATTATTAAATAAGTCCAAAGAACACATTACTGAGAAAAAATTTGTCGTTGGCCAAATGGCACTAAAATATGGTCATGAGGTCCTAAGACTACCACCATATCACTGCCAGTACAATCCAATTGAATTGGTGTGGGGCATCGCTAAAAACTACTATGATAAACATGCATGTAAGACCACCGACGAAGCCAGCGTTTTACAACTCTGGCAAGATGCACTAAACCAAGTCAATGAGGAACAATGGCGGAAATGTATTGAGCATACTGAAAAAAAAATTTTAGAGTCATATGAAATAGAACAAGTTATTGATGAAGTAAGACCTTTAATTATTCGTACAGATGAAGATTCAGTTGAATCGGATAGCGAGTCAGATAGTGATGAAACCTGTCCATAGATTAAGACGTAGATACAAAAATTAACACAAAAGGGTACTAACCACCAAAAAAAAAAAAAATAAAACAAAAACCGCATGCAGGAGAGAGCCCGAGGCACGCTGCACGACGCTCTTGAATGCAAGCACCAAAAAAATTAGATTAGCAAGTAAGGTAGATTAAGGAGAAGACTGGACGAATGTCCAGTTCAGAATATAATTGAATTATAACTCTAGAATTTTACTTTTAAAAGTCATAATGCATTCATATGTCTACTATTATGATGACGATGTGGTATTTTTGCAATTATGTAAATAAAACATTACAATGAGACATTACTGCATGATAAACAATTTAAACATTAAAAACAATTCCCATATTCTAAGTCGCTTTTCCGATTTGCGGCGAACATCTCCTGTCTGTTTTCATAATCAAATTTTTTTTCTAGGCTATATTGTACGTTTGTAATTGTACACAGAAATCTATAAAATGTGAAACCAAAATACGATTTATACAATTTTATTTAAGATATTTTCAACAAGAGGCACCATAATAATACAATGATTTGCAGTCATAAGTCTTGTTTAGGCCAATTATATTTTTCCCGCCATTCTAACAGCTCTTTTGCATTCAATACATACTTCCACACTTCAGGATCGGTTAATAAGTTTAAACTAAACAGTCCCGATCCCAATTCATCAAACTGTACTATTATATAGATAGAAGGAGGGAAATTTTAGACACGTATTCTATTAAGAAATACGTATTGATCATTTCTATCTTTATCTATGTTTTTGATTTTCCTAAAGAAATTCATGTTCAATTTTACCTTATTGGATACTAATTCCATTATTATTCGGAGGAAACAGTATCGTTATCCATGTCATTGTAATCGTATTAGCTTATTTTTAAATTATATCATCTGTTCAATTATATTTGTATATTATACATGTACAATCAAATTAAAATATTTTTATTTTATTGCATTCGAAAGGGAACATTTGAGCGCAGTGTAAGTACAAAAATATGTTTAGGTATACATATATGTTGTATTATATTAAAATTTATTTCCTAGTTATTGGCATTTCTTTATCTAATTTCTAAAAAATCTTTAGCTTACTAGATCGAGTGCAGTCCGAGGAACCAGTTTGGAAAGAAAGCGGTGTTGCTTTTATAAGTTCCATAACCCGACTTCTGGAACGCCTACTAGATTACAGAAATGTTATTCAAGGAAACAAGAATCGTGACAAGAGAATGTCATGTACATTTAATCTCTTGGTAAGTATTTTTGACAGATAAAATAATAGAAAAGGATAAAGTGTTAAATACCTAATTAATTGTGCGGTCACGTTTTCACTGTTATAAAAAATCAATTTTTAAGACAGTCTTTATTATAACATTTCTTTCTTTCTTTTCATTTCTTCTTTCATTTATAACATATTATAACATGTAAATCACAACTTGCGAATCCGAGAAAATTGTGGCCGTCACATTTCTGGCCGATAGGACAAGATATTACTTCGAGTTCTTCGAAGCACGTTCGCCGGGTGACGTCCACTATTTCGCCTGTTCCATGGTCTCTGGTGTGTACCAGTGGAAACAGGTTTCGTCGACGGTTGCGCTTGTTGTCCGGAATGAGCAAATGCAGCACCCATCGCGCCGACAGCTTTCTCATGCTCAAAATTCCATGCAAAATGTGACGCACTCGGTCTTTTGAGATATGTACTGTCTCAGTTATCTCGCACACCTTCAGTCGTCGGTCTTCCAATACGAGATCGTCGATTTATCCTCCTTGGTAGCTATTTTAAAACTCTTTAAACCTATTTGACATCGGAGAAGAGTAACCTCACACAGCATCCAAGCGCTCTTTCATTTCGCTGTTCGATTTCTCTTCCAAAATAAAAAATCGAATCACCAACCGATAGACCTCTTTTTCATTTTTCTAAAATCAGCGGACACGCCCACTTCCACACGCGATGAAAACAGCTACAACTACAACAATAAAACCAACTACTACGTGTCCGATTCGGCTAAAATTTTGACTTTAGCTGTCTACTAGAATGTTTTTCTCGTACGATAGTGGCGCCATCGGACGGTGAGGCTAAGTACTTATCGAACCGCCTACGTATATTAATATTCTTACATTGTAAAAAAAAACAAACTAATTACATCTCATAAAAATGGCTTAAATGCCACTGCTGTACTGATAGCTTGTGCATGTATTACGTAATTTAAAGAGGAAGTTTACTTTCATTACGCAGTGTGCCAGAGGAAATATTTAAAGAGATGTTTAAAAAGATTAAAATATATGTAACAGAGATAATATAGGGGTATCGAGGTGGATATAGGACAGGAAGAACAACAACTGGCATTTCTAATGCGATCAAGACTGAGTAAAATTATAAAATAAAACTTTTGCATAAATTTGATTGTATTAAAAGGAATAATTGTATATCACCATAATTTAAATATTAATGGACTAACCATGATGTCACTTTTACATTTTTAGTACCTAATTTGGTATTGTTCTGAAGCTATTTTCTTGTGGCATTGTAAATTAATTACTATTTATAACTGGGAATAAGCCACATTAAAGATAAAAATACATTTATTGACGTTTCAATTTCCAATTCGGAAATCGTTCTCAAAAAATAGTAAATTAAACAAATTTTGTTTTTTGTTACATAGTGAAAAAATTCTTCTGATAATTTAATTTTATCTGACTCATTTATATTGACAATTCAGACATACATTATGCATTTTAAAGTAGACGACTTTAAAATGATATTGCCAATATTGTTGAGTTGCGCTCCTGGGACGACTTTACTTTAAGATAGTTCATTCGATTACATGAAATCAACTTTAACTTGAGAATATCCGTCAGAAAAAAATCATAGCATGTAATTCGTCTTTAAAAAGACAAACACATGACATGATGACAGTAAAATTCTCCTGTTAGTGATTCCATAGTAAATTATGAGGGAAAAACCAGGAAAAAAACCTCATAATACTATCCCGACATTGTAAGTATTTGTTCGTGAATTTAGTTTACCTTCAACAAACATCAAAATTCTGATTTTATGTTACGTTATTTAAAAAACATAAATGATGTATCCTCTATATGTTACTGACTTACTAATACTGGTATTTTCTTATTAATAACTTCCTCTTTCAATATTGGTAACCAGATCCTACTACATTCTGCCGAGGAATTTGCGACACAATTGGCCTCATTTAGCATAATTAGAGCCGCTTCTTTGATTTTTCTTTTTTTACCATCCGTTTCTTTTAGGACTATATTTGAATTATTCCATTGAACTCTATGTTCATTATCCCATGCGTGTTTACATATTTGAGATCTATCAAATTCTCTATTTTTAATATAAGATTGATGTTCACTTATTCTAACATTTAATGGCCTTGATGATTCACCTAAATAAAACTGATCGCATTCACAAGGTATTTTATAAATGCAATTCTTTGTCCTTTCTTGTTCATTGTTAGGTTTGGTTTTGGACAAAATAGATCTCAACGTGTTTGTTGTTTTGAATGTTGTTGAAATGTTGAATTTATTTCCTATCCTTTTAAGTTTTTCTGATAATCCTTTTATGTACGGTATTGTTATTTTCCTCATATTATTCCTTGTGTATGCTGTAGGATCTCGTTCTAAGTTGTTCTGTTCTATTCGATCTAATTTGGTTATGCAGATAAATATTTTTGAATATTTATTAAACTTTTGGTTTTGTAGATAAATTATAACAATTGTAACGAATTTGTTTTTATCAATTTGTGAATTGTTGACTTTATCAAATGTATATTCACTTAAAATTTATACAATTTTTGTTGTTTTTAGAACTTTTACAAAAATGAAATTAACCGCAAAGAAATGTACCTTCGATACATTAGAAAATTACACGACTTACATCTATCTGCTGAGAATTACACAGAAGCTGCCTTTACTTTAAAACTTCATGCTGATCAGTTGAATTGGAATAATAATCAGATATCTGATAACAATTACCCCGGACACTCAGAATGTCAAATTAAGGAATTGCTTTACAGACAAATTATTAATTATTTTGACAAAGGGAAGGTAAGTGTAAATTTAATTGCATAAAAATACATTATTTGCGCATTGAACTTTTTGCACATTGAACACTAGTAAAGTTAAAATTTGGATTTAAAGATATAGTTACAAAAGAAAGAACGGTATTAGATGTAATTTCGATGCAGGGCATCCGCCAGCCGCTTATATGTATTTTAACCTCATTAGGTATAACCAATAATTGTTTGGTAAAATTGACAGGTGATTTACTTGGCATGGATTTTGTAGGCGAATAGCCACGATTTTTTCAAGCTTTATTCAAACAACTCAGTCACTTTTCTGGATGTCTTAATCACAAAAGAGGATACCGTGTACAACTGAAGTTTACAGAAACCCAACCCACGCCAACGGGTATTTAAATTATTACTCAAACCACAACATAAACATCAAAAAGAGGTTTACAAATGATTACATTAGATATAGAGCCCAAAATTCCTGCACCAACGAAATTACATTTCAAGAAGGAAAAACAAAAGTTTTAACAAAAAAAATATTACTCATTGTCATTTATAAACAAAGGAATTTCACAAGATTGAAGAAAGGAAACAACAAAGCACCATAAGCAATCCAGAAACGGGATTTAAAGATGACAACAATACCATACTAACGGGGTTATCAGGATACTTTAAAAGGGTAGGAAATAAATCCAACATCAGAAAAATATTCAAAACAACCAAAACCCTGAGATCTATACTGTCTATAAAATACCCTGTGAATGCAACACTTTCTATGTGGAAGAAATCACAAGGCTACTAAGTTTCAGGATAAACGAGCATGAAACAAAAATTAAAAACAGAGACGTCGATAAGTCACAGATATGCAAACATGGCTGGGACAATGAACACAGAGGACAATCGAAAGATGCATCAATAATTATGGAAGAAACAGACCTGAAAAAGAGAAAAATCAAAGAAGCAGCTCTCATCCTACTTAATGAAGAAAAATATGTAGATGTAGTCAATACTAAAAGAAGAATTCAACAACAAGAATATATCAGAATATACTTCCACAGTCACCTAGATCGATTTCCAGAAAACAGACTTCAGTGTAGACCAGTGTTAAAGATTTCTTCAGGTTATTAAAACCATGTTAACTTGTTAGGGAAGGAAGAAGGGATCACCATATAATAGCTGACTATTGGAGTCTTCAGCGAGATTTTTCTTGATATGCTAGAAAGTCGTATAAAAGTAAATTTTGTGGTGATGAATAACAACTGTATTTTTTTGTGTTATATGTTTTTTCCTAGTTTCTTTACATGTGTGTATATATTTTATATGTTGCACCTACGATGCTATAACGTCACTTATGGATCTGATTTAATTTTTCGGGAGAAGCGTTTGTAAATTCAACATCCTATTCATTTGTATAGTTCTTTTCGAATAATAAAAATGATAATACTTAAACGACAACTTTAAACTTTATTTTAAAATAACATCTCACTAATTATTATTATAAGAATATACACGTTTAAAAATTACAAACTTCGCAGAAGTAACGTTATCATCATCATCCCGTAGCGCTACAACCCTGGGTGGGTCTTGGCTGACTGTACAACTTTTTTCAAATTTGTTCGGTTTTCCATCAACTTACGGTCAAGTGGATTGTTCATTTTCCGGAGATCTGCATTCAGGGACGTCCGAGTGGTCTTTTGCGTGTGGGAATCTCCTCCCATACCAGTTTTACAAGTCTCTCGTTATGCAGTCTGTGCACGTGGCCTGTCCATCTTAGTCGCTGTGATTTAATTTCTTGGGCAATATCGGCGTCATTGTAGAGTGCTTTTAATTCGATATTGGTTCTGATCTTATACTGGTTTGTGGTGATGTCATGGTGCGGTCCGAAAATGTTTCTCAGTATTTTTCATTCAAAGCGTCTGAGCTTTTCTTCGTTTACTTTGGCCATGGTCCACGTTTCGCATCCGTATGTTATTACAGGTCTGACGATGGATTTATAGATATTGATCTTTGAACTTCTTGTAAGGTTTTTTAAATTTATGAGCTTATCCAGTGCGAATAGACAGCATTTGCAGATTGAATTATGTCTTTTATTTCTTCAGTGGGCCCGCGTAGCGCAAGCGGTAGTGTGCTTGCCTCGCATGCCGGTGGTCGTGAGTTCGAATCCTACCGCCGGCAAGAACAACTAGGCATTTTTAAAATGTCTATAGGCCCCAGGTCGACTCAGCCTGAATAAAAATGAGTACCTTGGGTAAAACCAGGGGTAATAATAGGCGGTTGAAGCGTAGCACTGGCCATGTTACCTTCCTTGTATACCGTAGGCCCTAGATATAGCAGACTACCCTGCTATACTCCCAAAGCCGCGTGCGGTATAAAACGGGAGACTATTATTATTATTTCTTCAGTAATATCGTTATCAGCTCTGATTACGGCCCCCAGATACTTAAAGCGTTGTACTCTTTCGAAATTGAAGGTGTTGACCGTTACATTTTGTCCTATTCTGTCTCTTTGTGTCGTTCTATTTATACACATATATTTCGTCTTCTCTTCATTAATCTTTAGCCCTACTTTATTGGTTACTCCTTCCACCTTGTTGAAGATGTCTTACGTGGATAGGATGGAGTCTCCAACGAGATCTATGTCATCTGCATATGCGAGTAAGAGCTTGGGACCTTGAACCGATAGCAATTCTGTTTTTATTTCGGCCGACCTCATGGCTTTCTCTAATACAAGGTTAAAAAGTAGTGGAGATAACGCATCACCCTGTTTGAGTCCACTGTTGATTTCAAAGCTGCCAGACAGTGTATTATTTACACGGACTTTAGATATTCCACCCTTCATGCAGACTTTGGTCATCCGAATGAGTTTCTTTGGTATTGAGAACTCCGCCATGGCATTCCATACTTGGCTTCTTTCTACGCTATCATATGCCTGTCGAAAGTTTATGAAAATATTGTGTATGGGTCTGTTAAACTCCCATCCCTTTTCGGTGATGTTATCGGTGTATAAAATAATTTATCTGTCAATTATGTCAAAATGAATAAAACACGAAATCATAAATTTTTAAAAAATTCTACATAGTAACTTTTCTATTAATAACAAAAATTAAATTAAATTATTATAAAAACTTTCATAATATCTTAGCACGAGATTAGCCTCCAATAATTGCAGTAAATCACTCTTGTTACGTTCTGAAATTGGTATTTTGTTGTAAGCTTGATTGAAGGTAATTTCGTCTATTGTTCAATTGCCTCTATTACGTAATTTTCAGAATTTTTGGTAATTATTTTGACGTCACCTGTCTTGATAACACCACCATTGACATTTTTCGCCATATTAAAGTTCATGTTCTCTTCAAGTGAAGATATCATTAAGGTTTATTTCATTTACCACCAACGGTTTGCCAGTATTTTGGCTTCAAGAATTAGGGAAATGTATTGATCGGGAACGTAAATTTTTGGCTCTAGTTACAAATTTTTCTATTACTGAGTGAGCTGTATCACCTTCGTTCTGCGTGTTGCCTCGAATCAAGAAGTTGTGTTGAATGAAGTTAATATTTCAGCGACTCACTGCAATGTACCACTATGCAGTGTTTTGTGGAAAAAATTCTATGTAATTCTACCACTGTCAAACCTCTATCAATGAATTATTTGCTAGTGCTAGCCCTGAGATAGTGACTCTCAACCTTTGGAATTGACTCGATATGATCCTTTACTGCTTGTATAACTTCAGGTTTCAATGTATATTGTTTTCTGTGTTTTCCTCATTGATCGGGCGGAATAAAGCCATGATTCTGAGCTTTGCCTTCGATAAGTCCTTATAATCCGTTATGTGATACCCAAAGGGTTGATCAGAAAAGTTTAGGGAAATAACGTCACTTCTTCACTACAAAAGTGTCGTTATTACTCAAAAAACTTAAAAATTATCACAATTACCTTAGTAACGTTGTAGCTCCAGGAGACTGCACAAGTGTCGTTATTGCTCCAAAAACATAAACATTAAATTGTCACAATTACCTTAGTAACGTTGTAACGTTTAGTGCCATAAAGATTCGAGACAAAACCGAGTAACGACACAAATGCACTCACAAGGAAACTATGCGAACTACACAAATGGCAATAACACACCAAGTGAAGAGGTGGATTAGGAGTATTCTTTCATATCATATTTTAGTTCAGTTTTGACAAAAATTGCATAAGTGACGTTATTGCACCGTAGAGGCGATGTATATAATATAAATAAATATCTTAATTAATATTTTTTATTGGCAAGTAATAACGTGAAATCTGAGTAAAAAAGTTTTCTATTATATAAACAGTCACTATTAGCTGATCTTCAAAGATATCTTAAAAACTAGAGCTGCTACGAAAAAAGAAAGGCATTTTCGGAATCACATGATCAAAAATATTTAAAAATTTTTCTTCGGCTCCAAAATCGTTGTTGAGGTTGTGCTGTGTGATTTTACGTAGAAGCTAAAAGATTAAAATACAGGGTATTCCATTTAATATAACAAATTTTATGGCCAAACTTTTGGTAGATCGGTTACAAGTTAGGCGAAAGTACATGATTTCTGATTTCAAATCCGATTATTTTCAGAGATAAGTTCAATGTGGGGACTATGTGCAATACTCTGTATAAAATATTTTTGTATTAAAGAATGAATATGTACAATGAGTTTTTTTTTTATTTTAGTGTTGGGAAAAAGGAATACCTCTATTAAAGGAATTAGCAAATTTGTATGAAACTATTTTCTTTGACTACAAATTATTAAGTGATATTTTAAGATACCAGGCTAAGTTTTATGATAATATTTTAACACAACTCCGTCCTGAACCGGAATATTTCCGAGTGGGATTTTACGGTTTAAGTTTTCCGTTATTTGTAAGAGTAAGTATATTGCGTTTTTAATATTGGGATCAAGTGTAAATATTGTTCGATACTTTTTAGTAGTAGACTACATACTTTCACGGGATTAAAAATTATGTTGCTTTGTGTGGGCATTACTTTTGATAATCATTTCTCTTCATAATTATTTACTGTCAAAGGATATTTATTGCCAAAACAAGTTATTTTTATAAATATTGTTGGCTCTCTTCTTGATAAGGATTTTACAGAGTTATTAGAATAATTAGTAAAGTAGTAAAATATAGTAAATTAAAATATTTTTTTCTGTATGTTGTCTACATTGAAATATTATTAGCATATGTTCTGTTTCTTCTTATTACTAGAGCCGAGCCCTGACTTACTTATCTCTTACATCACAACTTCAAGTATTCGTGATGTTAGCTTAAAAATCATAATTTTTTAACTAAAGGTTAAGTAAAGTTTGTGCACGCTGAAAACGTAGATAACATAAAATAATTACAAGGAAATTTGTATTTATGTTTTTTTTGTTCTAGAATAAACAATTTGTATATAGAGGACTGGAATACGAACGAATTGGTGCCTTCACTCAAAGATTACAAACGGAATTTCCATCCGCACAGATTTTGATGAAAAACACTCCTCCAGATGACGCTATTATTAACTCAGATGCACAATGTATCCTTTTAAAATTGTATTTTAAATCAGTTTTCTTACAATTAACTAAAATTGGTTTATTTACTTTTTGTTATTTTTTCCATTCTTTAAAGTGGGTATTGCCTTTATGAGTAAGAGTTCGAATTCAAATGTTGTAGTCGCCATAGTTTATAATTTCAACCTAAAGATAAACGCCTAATTTGATCATCTATTAACATGATAGGAGTTTAAAAAGCTTACAGTACCATTACACATACATATTTACATGGAAAAGACGTAAAGTCCATTAATCTAACCACAATAAACACAAATATCTCTCATTTATTACAAAACGTGACTGAATATACATTTTTATATATTATTAGTGATTTTGCCCGTCGCCATGCGACGGAGACCATCAGTTGCCATCCACAGTCACTCCACTCAATTTTTTCTGCCTTCTTCCTATTTTATCGTATCTCCCACCAATTTTTTCTGACTCTAAGTTTTTCTGACATCCTCCAAATTTTTCTGACTCCCTTCAATTTTTTCTGACTCACTGTAATTTTTACTGTCTCTGTAATTTTTCTAGTAAACGAGAGTAAATTGCTCATATCCTTCCTCAACAATTTCTCAATTTTTGAGTTAACCGAATCACGGGAGTAAACCCAATCACGAGAATAAACCTATTTATGGGAGTAAACTCATTCACTAGAGCAAATTCGTTGTACTTTGGATGTAGCATGTGTGAAATACAGATCATATGCAAGAATGAAAGAAACATGGAAAATAAATATTAATGCGAATGATTGATTTATCATTCGTACTCATTTTAATTTCAAATTTTACAAAACATTTTTTGTTTGAGTAATTTTCTTCTTCTGTACTCACTTCCTTTAAGTAATTTTCTTTGCGACGGTGTATTTACAACTTTGACACTTACGTTTGACTTTAATTTGAAAATTTTAGGAGCAACAAACTTTCAGAAAAATTAGCAATAAATTGACGGAATCATTTTAAAAACAAAATATGATTGATTAAGATTCAGTAAGTTGAAGTGTCAGTTGGAAGTTTAGAATTTCTTTCCTAGGTGGCGCTAGGAATCATCGTCCCAGACAAACTGCATTTCCGTTTAATGTGTCGTCGTAGCCTTTTATTGGATTAGATGTGGCCTCTTAAATATAGTAAGAAACACGTTATTATTATTAATAAACAAAATTCAAATGTTTACAAACAAATATAAGTCCTATAAATATATTGATCCTGAAGTTGCAAACAGGAAGCCTTCGGAGCTACCATTGTAAGACCCTCTTCAATAATGTAGTCAATGGTTTGATTCTCTTCCTAGTCACAATGAGAGGCTGCTGCATAATCCATTGGTGCAACATATATGCGCAACTATCGCGTCAAGACATTACACGATTTGACAGACAGAAAATTGAAGATGTAAGAAAAGAACGGAATATCAATCAGAAAATAAAAGAATACACATATCAAAATGGTATAACATGCATATGTTTACCCCCTTAAAAATATGGAGTGAAGTTTGAAGCTGTAATAGGCTCTGGAACCCTAGAATGAAGATTTTAAGTTCTTTTATAACGAGTTTTTCGTTTAAGTGGAAGTAACTAATCTCTGTTTTGAAAGTATACCACTAGAGCAACTACTTGCATCAATATTAGTGCCCATAACTCCTTGAAGTACGTAGTCGGCGAGCATTTTATATCCCAGGCGTGTTATGTATTTGAAAAGAAAGGCTTCTGATAAGAAATCCAGCCAAAATTTTTAATTTTCTTTGAAAATCCAATTCGATGTAGTTATCCATAGTTAGACCATAGCGATGTTATCTAGTCCACACATCTTCATTTCGGTTGAAAACTTGCTTGTTCGACTGCGATCACCTGAAACAGTTCTTATGCATAATTCATGCAATATATAAGTGGAAGCCCATAGACATAGAATACAAGATTGACTGACTGATAGAATATAGTCCCTTTCCCCCAGTGCGACAGAGAAAACTGATGCAAAGCTAGAATAGTACTACATAAGTAGAGTTTTTAACATACTACATAAAAACGACATCTCTACACAAAGATACATTCCGTTGCATTCGAACATTTAAGTTTGAAACTTACTACTGTCTGACTCTAATACCATTTGCTCTCAAGTTTTGTATCACTAGTAAAAAGCTCTAGTCAATTTAATTTCAATATCAATTTTGAGAAAAAAGAATTCGATATACAACAGTTAAAAACTGTTTTTTATATATGATATATTTCCTTAACAGCATTTTAGATATTCAAATATGTAACGTAAAACCTATCACAGAACCAAATGCTATAACATTGGCGTCCGATATTCCAGAAAAAATTGCCAGATATTATCATTACAACGACGTTCGACGATTTCAATGTGACCGTCCAGTACATAAAGGAATCATCGATAAAGATAATGAGATTAAGGTAAATTATTTAAATACCCTAGATATTTTCAAATATAGATTGCTATCTGATACTGTGCAACTACCCTGTAGTTTTCTAATTTGGTTTCTAGGCAGAGTCGTTGTATAATTAAACATATTCAGATAATGAGAATTTAATAAATTGTGAACAAACAGTATTTTTAAACTTTTTCATATAATAGTAAATTATCTACTGTGAAGAATAGGTCTACTTTCCAGTGATAGTAACTGTTTTCTGGATCAGAATACATTTGGAGAGAAGACATAATTTGGGGGATCTGAAATCTACAATTCAGCGGTTATTGCAACCTTTTGAGATTTATTAATTAAATAGTAGACGATCATACAGAAGGACAACTTAATGGAGGCCTTCTTTAAGAGCTACAACATTTCTCTTGGTATAAAAGTAAAAATGCTGCAATGCTGCGATACTTCTCTGTCCTTTTTATGGGTTGAATCGTGGACCTTGAACGAGGATATGTGCAGAAGATTGGAAGCATTGGACATGTTGGCTGTATTACTTAAGATCCCGTAGTTTGACCGAGTCACAAGCGGGAAGATCCTCAGAAGAATGAAGAAGTAACAATATTTGGAAAGCGAGATCCAGGAAGAACAAGAATATCCTGATTGAAGAACCTCAGATTCTGGTTCAACACAACAAATGTGAAACTTTTTCGTGCTGCGACAGAAAAAATAAGGATTGCTAAGATGATCGCCAACAGTCGTTACGGATAAGCACACCAAGAAGAAGAAGCTATCAATATCTAATTTATATGCCAATGGTCCTTACGTTGTTGCTGGGAATTATCTTGAAATTTTGGTGTTGTTAAAATGTATAGCTTTATGGATTTTCTCCCATGTAAAACAGTATTCGTATGTACTAGATGTTAAAGCAATATGTATTTATTTTTCAGACTCTATGGATAGAAAGAACTATTCTCGAAATAAGTAATCCTCTTCCAGGCATCTTAAGATGGTTCGAAGTGGTCAATCGGCAAAGTGATGAGATTCCTCCAGTGCAATATGCCTGTGAAACTATGCGAAATGTAGAAAACGAATTGAGACAATTGATAACAATTCATTCTACGGATCCCAAACGAAACTTGAATCCGTTCACTATGAGATTACAAGGCATAATTGATGCAAATGTACAGGGAGGAATAAGTAAATATCAGCAGGCTTTTTTCACCAAAGAATTTGTAAAACTGTATCCGGAACATAAAGTTTATGCCGAAAATTTAAGAGAATTAATTATAAATGCCACAAGGGTAAGATATTTCATTATTTATGTATTTATATGTATATGACACATTATTTTACAGGGCGTTTAAATTTTTCTACAGTGGTAGCCTAATCTAATATTTTTTTATCAGTAGCTACCAAAAAAATCGTGTTCGAAAGTTAGAAACTAATTAGAACTTACCTGCACTGTAATTAATGGTTTTAAAGTTACTAAGTAAATAAAAATTATTTTATTGAGCCTTCTTTTTTGAAATCGTTAGACGACTAATTAGTACTGTTCCACTTTGAAATAACAGGCAAAAATGTAGTCTACACGCTACACGTTCGATTTTAGTCATTTTACTTTTAGAACTAAGAGATAAAAAACATCAAATATAAAAAACGTACCTACGCACTATCTTAATTATTGTTCAAAATGTCCAGTTTGTTCAAAGCAATAAAAAATCTAACTGGATTGACTGATTAAAAAGGGCAACTGGATTGACTTCTTCAAAAACTACCACAGATTTAAGATTTTAAGTGTATTTATATACAAAATTCTCCGTGCAATCCCCTGTAAACCAATAGCACGCCTAATAGATAGCATGCACAACGACCGGATGTTTCAAGTAGTAATGGGCACAGATATCAGTCCACCAGTCTCAAAATACAAACACTGTTTGTATTTTGAGAACGATTTCCGAAGTGGAAATTGAAACGTCAATAAACGTATTTTTATCTTTAATTGTGGCTTATTCCCGGTTTAATAGTAATTAATTTACAATGCCACAAGAAAATAGCTTCAGAACAATATACAAATAATTCATTTGCGTTCGATACAATTTAACGCGAGATCGCGATATTCTTTTTGACTGCCTGCTCAATGAAAATTTTCCGTTATTTATATGAAACCAGCTGGTAAACAGAATGTTGTAGAAAATACGATGCCGTTCTCGACGTAGACACAGCGGCAATGATCTAAAACTGGTATGTTTTTCATCGGCTCGTCCCCAGAAAGTTCGATTGTTGTTTGTTTAGCGAAGGGAACCCAAAGGGTGTCAGGAAGATTTTTGACCTAGAAATTACGAGAATCAATAAAAAAGAATTAGTCATAAAATATTTACAGTTCTATACGCCATAACATTTAAAATCGTAACAATATATATATATATATATATATATATATATATATATATATATATATATATATATATATATATATACAGTGTAGGAAAAATTTTATGGTCGGTATGGTAAAATTTAACAGGATATCTAACGCAGATATAAAATCATATTTTCAGCGAATAGACAAAGATAACAATCATATTTCCCCTTGGTCTCCCCTCCTCAAATATTTTTAACACCTATTGGCCATTAGTGAGACGAATAGTTCCGATCAGAGATATTTTACATATTCTCTGGTTCCGATCCTAATATACCTAAAAACTAGAGGTGGGTCCTCCCGTTTTTTAAATTTTTATCGGAACCGTTTTTCGTAAACTGTAACTAGTTGATTCAAATTAGCGAGTACACAAACATATTGGCTATTATCGTTTATGTGTATAAGTATTGAAGTGAAAGAACCTAACGAAGGATATATTTATTATAACTTGAAAAATAAATTAAACAATACAAATAGTACTTACATTTACATTAAATCGTACTTACATTTACATTACACGTTATTATTAAATCGCGAACCGTCTAAATTGACATTTAAAAACAAGTTTTTCTACTTTTCTTGTTAACTGTGTTCTTCTTTTATTTAAAATGTTACAATTCTACAATATTTTATGAATATAGTGGCTAAGTTAGGATATACATGGCGATGGTTCTTCCACCACGGTAATGGACAGTTCCAATCTCCGTTCGAAATTTATTGTGGGTAATATATTATTAGACAAATACATGTCGACTTCTTGTATATCTCTCGATACAGTTGTATGTTTAGATGAGTCATGTCCAATTAATTCATCAAAAATACACAATGGACTTAAGTCATCTTTATCAGTTTCTTTTTCTTGACTAAACTTATTGATTTACTAAACTTATGCAAAGACTCGTTTCATCCGTTTTCTATAGGTGAAGAACCAGATTTTAAAAAGTTTGCAGGGTGGATTCCTGGATATAAACCGCCAACAAGAAAAACTGTTAGATTCATTACCTCAGGAATGTTATGTCAATACTGATTTGATAATAGATAAAAAAAAAGTCCTTTTTTCGACAATTCTGCAAAAAACATTAAAAAAGTACCTTATCTTCAGAAAGGCTTAATTACAACATAACAAAGTTCCCAAACGGCCAATCCAAGACGTGGAAACTAGGTAGAACTTCACCTATTACAGGTTAAAAAGAATGACTGAGTTAGAAGAGGCAATCCGTTTCACTTCTTCTTCTTTAAGTTCCATCTTCTATCGAAGGTTGGAAATCATCATGGCTATGCCGAATCTGTTGACTGCCGCTCTAAAAAGGTCTGCACTACTGCATTCAAACCATTCCCTTAAGTTCTTAAGCCAGGATATTCTTCGTCTTAATAAGTTGTAATAATGCGTATTTTTGCCCTCTCATCACATGTCCCAAGTACTCAAGTTTTCGTCTTTTAATAGTTAATATTATTTCTGCCTCATTTCCTATCCTTCTAGTTACTTCAATGTTTGACATTTTTTGAATCAATGATATTCGTAGGATTCTTCTGTAACACCAAAAGTCAAAGGCGGCCAACTTATTCAGATGAACTTGTTTTAGTGTCCAAGCTTTCAGACCATAAAGAAGAGTAGAGAACACGTAACATCGAAGCATTCTCAGGCGTAGTTCTAACCTTATATCCCGACAACAAAGAAACTTTTTAAGTTTAATAAATGATGTACGTGCTATTTCAATACGTGTCTTAATTTCTTTGATTTGGTCTACATCTGATGTTATCCATGTTCCTAAGTATTTATAGTTATTAACACTCTTAATTGCAGTATCTTCAATAGTCAATTGGATATTTGTGCAGATTTAGTCATGATCATGCATTTAGTTTTCTTTAAATTTATCTTCAGTCCGTACTCATGACAGCGTTCATTAAGGCGTTGCATTAGGTTCTGTAAATCATTGTTGTTATCCGTAATTATTACTGTATCGTCTGCAAAACGTAAGTTATTCAAAACTTCTCCATTGATAGATATACCTTCTATTGAGTCAGAGAGCGCTTCTTAAAATACCGATCACTGTAGACATTGAAAAGTAGTGGGGACAGCACGCAACCCTGGCGGACTCCTCTCTGTATTTTGATATTTTCGGTGTACTGGCGTGTATTTCCGTTCCACATCGGTATTAAATAATACAGACTTAGACTTAGACCAAATCTAAATAAAAAACACTGGATTATTTGTTCTCAGCTTTCCCAAATTTTACGGCCGTTTAAAGAAATAACAAGTACAATCAGTGACCAAAAATACTTGAAGGGTAGTTCAGTGATTGTTATGGTACGCGGCCTGCAAGAATCTTGCAAGAAAATGTTAGCAAACGGTAACCTTACATCCATAGTATCCGACGTAGTACAATTACTAATATTGGGTTTAGCAAAAATATTTAAAGGGATAGAACAGAGTGGCATATTGTCATTATGTACATTTATGGATTCATTATTTAAAGTGCAGGGTTTTTCTGATAAAAATGAAGATAAAAAAATAAAAGAAAAAGTTAAGAAGCTGGTTACTTCTATAATTAACGAACAAGAAGATTGTACTATTGAAAATCAACCAGTACAATAAAAAGAAACCAATAAAGATGACTTAAATCCATGGTGTATATTTGATCAATTAATTGGAGATGGCTCATCTACACGTACACCTGTATCGAGAGTCCATTACAACGGTGGAAAAACCATCGCCATGTATATCCTAACTTAACCCCTATATTCATACAGTATTGTAAATGTGAACACATGTTCAAAATCTGGTTTAATTTGAAATAAAAAAAGAAGACGGTTAATAAGAAGCAGGTATAGTAGAAAAAATGTTTTTTAATGTCAATTTAGACTATTCGCGATTTAATAATAACGTGTAATGTAAATGTAAGTACGATTTACTATTTGTATTGTTTAGTTTATTTTTCAAGTTATAATAAATATATCATTAGTTTCTTTCACTTCAATAAATATACACATAAACGATAATAGCCATTATGTTTGTTTATGTAGGTACTCTCTTACTTGAAACTACTTTTAAACAATCATAGTTACTTGTTTACAAAAATTTAAATTTTTAAATTCATTCATTTTTTTTGGAATCCTGAGAAAACTAACAAATATTTTTGAAAAATTTAAATGCATAATAAAAGATTACATTATTACCGAGGGCCGAAAGTCCCTTAGAATAAACAAAAAGTGTTTTGAATGAGATATTTGAAATTAAAAATCATACTAATTTTTTTTTCGCCCTTATAACTTATTAAAATAAACATTATAGAAGTTTTCAGGGACTTTTGGCCCTCGGTAATAATGTATTGGTTCATTCTGCGTTTAAAGTTTTCAAGAATATTTATTAGTTTTATCAGGATTCGAAAAAAATGAATGCATTTAAAAAATATTAATCGCTCTTACGCTCTTAACGATAAAATTACCACGACCCACCTCTACTACCCGTTACTCGGTATTCTGACCAGACGGACGACGTTGCCAAATAAATTATTGTGTGTGAATATTTTTTAATGTGGTGTTATTGTATGCAGTTTATTATTTCATATTGGGAATAAGGCACAATGTGACTTTAAAATAAGCTTATTTTGATGTTTAGATTTTTAATTCGGAAATCGTACTTAAAATACGAAACATTAATAAATTTTATTTAGGTATATAAAACGATTTCCAAAGTGGAAATCAAAATGTTATATTACACTTATTGTAAAGTAAACTTGTGGCATATTCCCAATAAAAAAAAAACAGTAAGCTGCCATTTAAATCAATTTCGCCCAAATTGGATTATCTTAGAACATTGTTCAAATGCAAAAAAAAACAACAGGTCAAATAAATCCAATAAGTTTGGCAACGTTGAACTTCCCCTTTCTAGGCATGCCTGTTTGGCGATATAAAGGGCGGACCTAATATACCTCTCTTTTTCTAAACAGCTGTTTCTCACTCCATCTCACGTAAGGTCCATACCGACCATAAAATTTTTCCTACACTGTATATATATATATATATATATATATATATATATATATATATATATATATATATATAGGTGACTTCAACGAAATGCATTAAAAACAGAAGTTAGTTGCTTTCACCTCAACAATAAACTTATTGGAAAGGAACTCAGCATATGGTTTGAAAATACCACACTTACCCACAACAAAACACCGAAGTACCTGGGCGTAACACTAGACAGAACTTTATCCTTTAAAGAGCATTTAACAAAAACTGCCCAAAAGTTGAGTACAAGAAATAACATTATACAGAATCTCTGCGGTACCACCTGGGGAGCATCGGCTTCCACTCTCCGCTCTACTGCCTTAGCCCTTGTTTTCTGGACCCCTAAATATTTTAATATTTTGCTCCAGTTTGGCTACACAGTCCAAACGTAAAAAGGTCGACACTCAGCTTCACAGCACTATGAGGATGATAGCTGGTACAATTAAATCAACTCCCACCCAATGGCTTCCAGTATGAAGCGATCTCCCTCCACATTTACGACGAGTTGACGCACTTACACATAAATACAAAAAGATCATGAACAATATAAACCTGCCTATCCACCAAGATACCGAGGATGCACGAAATACCCGGCAAAAAAAGGAAGACTATCCATGGAATTCCATTGATAAAGAAAAATAAAAACGCTTTTGTAAATGGGAAAGCTTTTGTGTTAAAGATTAAAACTTTTTGTCCGTGTGGACTTTAATATGGCGGAAAATAAAATATGCTATAGACAGTATTTCTTTTAACAATTTTATCTTAAATATTTTATTTTTAGGTGATTGAAGAAGGGTTAATTCTGCATGGAAAATTGGCGCCTCAAAGTGTCCAACCACTTCATCAGCGATTATTAGAAAGATTTATTCAGTTGAAAGAAAGCCTTGGCGCCTTTAATCAACAATCCACTAATAGTATCGTAAAGTAAGTAGTCATCTTAACGTCTTAGTTATAAACCATTAAAGTTTTTAAGATAATGTTAGATATTTAAGTTTTTAAACACTATCTATTGTCAATGTTCCTCTGTGTTTAGTTCTATGTAGCAATTTATATAAAATATATATATATATATATATATATATATATATATATATATATATATATATATATACATTTTACAAATAATCTCAACGACTAGTAAGTTACACTGAAGAATTGTGATATTTTTTAAATATTTACATATTTGTCTTATTACATTGTCTTGAAAAAGTAATCAAACCATTCCGAAAGCTAGATAAAAAGTTAAAAGAGTGTTTTTTTTAACATCCCGGCCAATATTCTGACTGCATCCCTAATAAACTGTGTTGTTAGTATATATATATATATATATATATATATATATATATATATATATATCAATTTATTTATATAAAATATCAATGTTTTTCAATCTTCTTTAATTTTTGTATATATCTGATGCATCTATCGGATATCATACCAAATTAATTCCCTCATAGAAATGGTTTGTTATTTTGGTCATCTTTCACTATTCCTTTCTTCTCAACACGCAGCGAATACTCGAATTGTGCTATAATCGTTGCTACCTTATTTTGGCGTCGATAAGTATTCTCCTATCATGCCTAACCTTACTGAATGTTTTGTATAAACTACTAATTAAAATTTTAATAACAAGGTTAACTTCCAAGTTAGATAACCACCAATCACGAGAAGCAAGCTGTATTTAGAAACGAATTTAGTAAAACTAATAACCTCGTAACTATGAAACTATTAATTGAAAAAGCAAATCAATATCACATACCTACTCCTGTATGTTGCGTGGATTTTGAGAAAGCATTCGATACAGTAGAGCATTGGGCAATTGTAGATATATAGACCTAATATCATCTAATATATATGACAAAGTAACAAAATCTATCAGGCTTATGGAACAAACTGAGTCAATTAAAATAAACCAGAAAGTCATGGCGCCAGAGACATGTTACCAAAACCCTTGTTGCCATATTTAAAAAAACTAGACTGGAAAACTGCGAACATCTGAATAAGATCATGCAAAAAGCAGTACTGTTTGCACGTCCAGATACGTAAGAAAATTTGTATGAGATACTTCAACGTTCCAGGTCACCTAGATCTCGATAAGAAATAAAGAACTCGATCCTTTTGATTCCTTGCCTATCTGAGATGAGCGAATTTCCCGTATAATGATATAAAAGAATACCTTATTTGGTAAGAGTGCGGTTATATTATTATATAATCCAATACTTTCTGGAAATCATAGATTCTTATCGTATAAATTATTTAATTGATATGATTGTCTCCTTTTTCTTTTTATTATCGTGCCACTCTATGAAGATTGGAGATCATCTTGACCTTAAAGAGCTCATCTGTGATGCAGCCAATTCATTTTGCACCCCATATGTGTGACTCCCAATTCCGTTTTCCTTCAATTTAGCTTAAATTATGTAATGAAGTAATATGTATCTGTTCATCCATGAGGTAGACGAAAGAAAAAAGGCCGTCCTTAAATTTTAACCATTACATTACTGAAACGCCATAAAAACAGTGATCGTACATGTTATGTACGTTTTCCGTATTTTTTTTTTTCGGAATGCTTATTTATGTGTTAAAAAAATATATAATTTAAAAAAGTTACTATAAAAAGGTAAAAAATAAGCTACAAGAACTTATTTTTATAATTGGCAATCAAAAAACTATAATAAGTAATAAAAAAATTTTTTTAGTACTCCTCTTCCACCTGTGCCCACAGATAAAAGATTATTAATGGAAAATGGTAGCAATAGATCTTCCGGCTCTAGCGGAAATTATGGACATTTAGTAGAACATCATACAGCAGAATACGATAATATATATACAAAGCCGGCGGTAAGTACAAAATTACTATTAAGTACTACTATTATATTAAGTAATTTGAATGTACTGAAATTAATCAGTGCTATATCTAATTTTGGGCGTAGACAGCTCCTCTGCATATATCTGTCTGTATTGTATATCTTTAAGTATATATTGGGACACATTGTGATATTGGAACAAATTTAAATAAATGCATAATTCAGTTTACGGTTAATGTAATACTATGTAATTAGTTAATTACTAATGATATAGGTCCAATCAACGACATAAAACAAAATATACTTCCTAACCTAACCGAAAAATGTTCATTTTGTTGGCAACTAAATATTGGGACATAGAACGAATATTCATTTTAAAAACGGATTTACATTCTTCTTAGACTTTATGACCGTTCAAAAACGGTTGGTCATTGACTCGACTAACTGCACTGTTCAGGGATAAATTTATTCCAAATGAGCTCTATTGTAACTTTTAGTTCGTATTATGCCCGCTGTGGGTTGTTCCTTAGTGTCTGTTTCATTTTATACCATACCGTTTTAATGATATTTAGGTCGGGACTGTTCGGAGCCCAAGAACAGATGTTTATATTTTGTTTTTCAAACTTTTTTTTGTGGTTCTGGCTGTATGACAGGCCGCTTCATCCTGCTGAAGAAGTCAACATTTAATCTCACAATGCTTGGTGGTGGAGGTACGATCATCAATAGAAGTGTACAGATATTGGCTTACGCAGATGACATTGACGCACTAAATGATCTGGTGACAGAAGCACATACATTCGAAGGGGTCTCGGAGTTTATATTATATCTCGGAACACAACTAAATAACAGTAACCTAGTAAGCGTAGAAATTAAGAGAAGAATATACCTGGCGAACAGAGCTTACTTTGGACTAAAGCAGTTCTTAACATCACACATAATTTGTAGAAAAACCAAGATACTAATGAGATTCTTATTAAACCTGTCCTGACATATGCATCAGAGACATGGACTATGGTAAAAAGCGACGAAGAACTGTTAGGCCGCTTTGAAAGAAGAACACTTAGACACATATACGGAGGAGTACAAGAAAGCGGGATATGGCGCAGACGCTACAATTTTGAGTTGTATCAATTGTATGAAAAATTCAACATCGTCCGGTCTATTAAAATTAATAGAGATAGATATTATCTCAAGACCCAGTAGGAACCAGGAAGAGAGGTAGGCCAAGATCTAGATTTAAAATTAAAGTCGAAGATGACTTGAGGAATCTAGGGGTCAGAAAGTGAAAAGCCAGGGCGAAAGATAGGGGGTAATGGAAACTAATTCTTGAACAGGCCAAGACCCACCCACGGTTGTAGAGCCAAATATGATGAACTTCGATAAGTTCATTAACTCTGAACCTATCATACAACCCCAAAATATCACTCCGTTTGGAAATTTTACTATCTGTTTCAAAAACTCCTTGTGAAAAGCATCATGCTTAGTAATCACCAACATAAGTCGAATTTTGATTGGTCACTAAAATTACTCGGGGCCAATCTTCTAGCGACCGAAAACGTTTAGATTTTGCCCACAACGAGCCTAGCTTGCTTTTGTTTTGGTGTTAACATTGGCTTTTTTTAGCCTTCAAGACAATTTATTAAACCACGAGTACAGTTTTAAATTGTTACCTGTAATTCAACCTCATAAATTTTAATCGTAATTTATGTATTCTCTTGCCGCAGCATTCCCTTGACAAATTTGATCACGTTTCATAATGTCATTCAGTTGTAACTTGCCGAATACTTATTCGACCTGTCTTGCAAGATTTTACTAATATTCTCCTTTTCCTACCAGAATCTAGTTCTGAACGATCCGGTCTTTTGCCTTTTTTATGTTAGAAGGATACTTCCTGTTTCCCCAAAATGCTTAATTAAGTAAGTTCATTGTTGACTTCACGGACTGTTTTATTGAGGCAATAATTTTAATCGTCGACTCACGAAATTTTGAATTTGTAGAGATACCACGCACCATTTTATTTAAATAATAAAGCTGTTCCCTCAATTTGACAACAAATTAACTATAGAATATAGTAACGTTAGTTGGAGTGTTTGGATACATTGTTTTTGCAGCCTACTGTCTTATCTTGTTTGGATTTTAGAAATTATTTTATACTTTCCCATTATTTAGTTGTCACTAATTTTTACATATTTTGATGATTCTTAAGACATTAATAGGATATATGCGTTGTATAGAAAATATTAATTACGTTTTGTGATTATTTGTAATTTAAAATATTGCTTATTTAGCATAATTAGCTTAATTATTGAAAAATACTAATAAATTAATAGTTAAGCACCCGAATTTTTTATATATTTTAATTTGTACCAGTATATAGTTGTTGGGGCTCGTACACAGATAGTGTAGTGCGTACAGTTTAACGTCGACTGCGAACGACTAAGTGTAGACAGATTAAGACTTCCTGTTTTGTAATGAGCTTTCAAGCGACTATCTTGGTAATATATTTTGAGCTCCTAGTGGGAAAACCATTTGAGAACAAAGGTAAATACACTTATATGTGAACTTCCTAGGTCGCCAAATTTTGATTACTTTAATCATAATTTAACTTAATAATTAACCCCCTCTGTGGCTCAGTGGTAAGAGCGCCTACCTTTAAACCTAAAGGTCGTGAGTTCGAATCTCACCTGGGTGGAAATTTTCGTTTATTAAAAAAATTAATAAATGAAAATAATTTCTATCCTTGTGTGATCGGTACTCACCAGAGGGACCGCAGACGTTCGGATACAATTAGCGTCTCTTAGCAAAGAAAATGACGTCGATTTTGCTAAGTATCAAGACAATTACTCTACACACAAACACACACACACACACACACTACATTAATAAACTTATCTTGATTGAGACTGGCTGAATGACAATTGTCCAAGCCAAAACACACAAAAAAAAATTTAATAATTAAAGTAAGCTTTATCACTTAATCATCGTCCTTGTACTTAAGACTTTTAGTCTTACCATTTTCAATTATTTAACGCCATTGTCAAGTTTCGTGCATCTTCTTCTAATCTGGAACTGTCTTGTTACATTTATCCCTAAAACTTTATATACTTGCTCTTGTGAACTGTTTAGTTTTCTACAACATAAGTAGAAGGCCAGACGTTAAAACTGGATAAGTATGAAGACTTGGATTGTCCTTATCGTGTGGATAATCCTTAGCCGAAAACAATTTCAAAGTCGAAATGGTAATAAGAAATGTTTGATGAATTTAAAAGCACTTTATTTAATGTTGCACTATTAAAAAAATACTTTATTACAAAGACGTATTTAACTAAGATTAATTTGTTCTTATTTTTCTGCTATATACGAAAAGAATTTTACGTAGAACGTGTACAATTTGCGAAATTATTTAAATTACATGTAAGGTTGACAAGATAGTGCTCGATTTGAGATGCTTGATTATACAACGCCGCGATGAACTGTTCCACACGGGAACCAAATACGGAATCATCAATCGCCGCTCCAATCTAATAATTTATAGGAGAGAACGTGGTTTATGATTCCAGAAAAAAGCTCTTTTTTCGATACATTTATGAAGAAAATGTATAGAGCTGAAAGATGCCTTTTTGAGTTTCGAAAACAAATAAATCTTACTGATCTACTTTTTGGTAGACATTAATACCTGTTTTTCTAATGAATTTTTAAGCGCTGTTAGATACTAGGAAGAAATATTTTATGAGCAGTTGTAGTCGTAAAAACGAAACCTTTATTACTAATTTTTATATTGAGATGAGGAATATTAGTGTCAAACATGAATAGAAGCATGTTTTTCGTTATGAATTATAATGGAAAGAATAAATTATTCTTTATGGTATGTTAAGATTTTAACGCATGGCCCGTTCATTCAATCTGTGTAACTTTATTGTGGGTTTATATTTATTAATCTTATACAAATTCCTTAATATTCCATAATACTCTTTTGCGAAATGTTTTTCTTTCAAATAGAAGTTTCTTTCTTGTTTCACTGAATTTGAAGGACAGTAATTTTGAGTAGGAACTCAAAACTTTATGAAAGATTTAGTATTAATTTATTACCTAACCCTTTTTAGGATAATGAAAGACCTAGTTTAAACAGAGAGAATCTATCATTACCCATGCCAATTGCACCTATCGCACCTCCTATACCACAAAGGGAATGTAGACCTCGGTCTCAAGGATTCAGTAACACTAGTTTTGCAGAATTACGAACTCCCACCAGAGGTCCGCTGGAATACAATAGTGCCAGTTTACCATCAATGAAGTCAAGGTTAGTCAGGTAATAAAAAGATATTTGTATGTAAGTAAATCTTTATTCTGTTTTTAGGGATTCTGAATCGGGAGATCTACCTCTTCCACCTAAACCAACACATTCAAGAGAAAGATCCTTAACAAAACCACCTTCTCCTCGGCTTTTGAGACATGCTATGTCAATGACTCCTACAGATAGTCCTCATTTACGGAACTCTTGGCCAGAAAGTGGCACTTTAGAAGAAGCACCTCCACTTCCACCAAGATCACATAGTAAGATTCTTTATATATTTCTTTTGCCAATTTTAGTAGGTAGTTAATTTTCCAGGAATATGTGAAATATTTATTCAAAAAATGTTGTATCTATTTTGGTAGATCGTGGCTTATTTTTCGAATTCGAGTGTGATATTGCATGTCGTACAATGTTGATCTATTCAGCAGGTTTATGATACACATTTTCACTTCTCTTCCATTTATATATATATATATATATATATATATATATATATATATATATATATATATATATATATATATATATATATTATACTTGTTCAGATTCCAACTTTCCGATATTTCTTGATACAGTGTTTGTTTTTACGTGCCTAGATTTTGTTCTAGTTACTCAAAGCCAGCAGTGCCTAAACGGTCGATCGTGACAACTTCTTGAGTCGATCACGAAAGAAATAAAAATTTATCTGACCCGGGTCGAAATATTTCAGACTTCTGAGGCAATGCGACTGCGCGATGTTCGGCGAATGTTACCAATTGTTCTCGAATGCCTGTTTCATATTTAATAAGCTGCGGTGACGAAGCATTATGTTAGTCTTAATTAAGTTAAGTACAAGTTCCATGTAAACAGCAATATTTAAAACGCAAAATGAGGGCGGTGAAAAAAAAAGTAAAACGTACCATTTTAATAGTATTGTTCTGAAGCTATTTTCTTGTGGCATTTAAAATTTATTACTATTTAAATGTTAATAAGCCACAATTAAAGGTTGAAGTAAGTTTAGTGACGTTTTAATTTCCACTTTCCACAAGAATCCTTTCGAAGACGGAACCGTAGTGAAAAAAGTGGATAATGGATTATTTCATGACTTCAAAAATGAAACACAGATTATATCTGCTATCAAAGAGGTTCGGTTATCCCATCCAACTGTTACCAGATGAAGGGAAATCACAAAAGATTTGGAATCCCAATTGAAATTGATTATGGAGTATATATACTTTTCTTTGTAGTTTGATGATCCCACCGATATGACTGATACTGACCAGTTATGTATTTTCATCCGGATGGTATTTCTTGATATATCGGCTAAAGAAGGGTTATTAACAGATGTAATTATATAACATATGTAATAAAAAGACTTGCGGAGAAGATGTTCACACAGCTTTTCAAAATTTTATAAAATAATATGATTTTCAAACTCGCGTAAATTTCAACAGATGGAGCCACATCTATGATTGGCAATAGCAATGAATTTGTTGCATTGTATCGAGCTATCGATGACCTACCATCGTTTTTTTTTATTCCATTGCATTATTTGTCAGCAAGTTCTATGTTCAAAAATACTAACTATGAATGATTTGAGGGACATTAACACAAATATCTTGAATTCAATATGTGCACCAAGCTTGCAATGAAGCCTCTTTAAAATGCAGTTAAAAGCTAGCGAGTCTGTTAACCACACTGATTTACTTCTTCTTACAAACGTAGAATAATTAAACTGCGGAAAATTTTTATTACGATTCCAGGAACCATTACCTGAAATCGTTGAGTTGACGATACTGAGACACTTAGAAACGAAAAATGACACAAATGACGAATCATTTGAATACCCTTAACCTGGAGCTGCAGGGTAAAAATAAAACTTTTATCGACATGATTAGCGCCATAAATAGTTTTATTAACAAAATGAAGCTATTGAATAAAACGGAAAGAAAAACATAAAAATTATGATTATTACGAGAGAGTTAAGAAATATTCAAAGTGAGTTTGAAAGACGCTTATGTGATGTAAAAATATCGTAACTTTCATCGCTTACCCTTTACGTTGTAAAGATGAAAAATGTGCTATTGAAATATCAAACTTTTGTTTTTCATATCCGAAGACAAATATTCGTGTTTGAAACAAATAGCTCTTTAGTTAAGAGAAATATTCGAATCAAAATACTTGTGTGAGCTGCCTTTTCAAAAATAAAAATGGTTCAAGCAAAATATCGCAATCGGCTACTGTTGCAATAACTACGTGCTCTACCCTCTTACGAAAAGTGTATAAATCTATGTATTTTAGTAACAGTTTCAGCTTATCTTGAGCATCCTTGCCAGACATTCTTCTTTTGTCTACGTCAGCTTGTTCTTTTAGGTTCATCTGGTTTTAATATGTGTTCAAATTGATAATGTAGCATTTTTAAATAAAACAAGCAGTTCGAATTTATATAAATATGTTTATTTATAACTTTACATTTCGGTACTATCTTATCAATTTAAACTACCTCAATCATTGTTACTTATATATATATATATATATATATATATATATATATATATATATATATATATATATATATATATATATATATATATATATTATTGTTCGAGAATATTCTTCGAGATTTTTACAGCGCTCGATATATCGCCGGAAACTTCTCGGCGCTTCGAGATGCAACCATTACATGGGCCATGCCGAAAGCATGTTCGTAACACTGCTCCCCTCTTAGATCTGAGCAACTTTATATGTAGGCCCAGGATGGCGGAATCTACAGGCCTCTCCAGCTCTGCATGACCCCCTCAAGAAGAAATAAGAGTCTACTGTCTTTGAAGGACACGATCTCTTCAGATTAGTGCAACACACAGTAATTCTTACGCCGGTTTCTCGGAAGATCACTTCAAGCATGCTTCTGACAATCTTCCAATCCAGATTATCTAGTGCATGGCCTATCTTGGGTAAGGCCAAATTATTGATGTCATAATTGCACACGATTTTCTCAAATTAGTTAGAGCACGCCATATATCCTCGTAGCTTGCCCTGTCTGTATATGACTTTCTGGTCACCATATACAGCAAAGATCGAGGGTCATCTTCTAATCTCAGTACTCTTCCAACTTTAGGCTCTTAATTTTTTAACTCGTCTAAAAGATCGAACTTCTTATAAAATACAGATGAGATTCCTTTAGTCATCTCAAGATCTTGGGCAACACAGTGGGCTAGAGAGACGTTATGCGGAACACTAAAAAATCCTGCTGAACTTCTGTCGCCACGCCGAATCTAGCACTCTTTCTCTCTGCGTAATTTGACATAAACTCATTAAAGCTTGGTCGCCGGTCATCTTTGATCTCACGTTGTACCAAAGAATGTACATAATGTTTGAAAAATAAATGATGTTAAATATTTTATTATATTGTACTTCAGGTAACATACACCCATGCCTTACGTGAATACCAGCGTCCGGAGAGTAGACCTCTTCAAACGGACTTCAGCTGATAACTGAAGTGAACTGAAGTACTTGATTTGGTATCGCATAGGCCTCAGTCCATTTCGTAAAATAATCCATGGCTACCAGCATATATTTATTTCCATCATTCGTCTCTGGAAGTGGACCTGCAATGTCGATTCCTACTCTCTCCATAGGACTACCAACATTGTACTGTTTCATGGGTGCCCTCTTTTTACCAACTGGACCATTACTGGTTGCACACAGTTCACATTTCCGGCACCATCTTCTTACATCATCTTTACAGTTCACCCAATAGAAACGTTCTCGAACCTTTTGCAGAGTCTTCGTAATACCAAAGTGTCCACCCGATGCACCGTCATACAACTGACGCAATACTTCTGACACTTTATTTTTAGGTACAATTAAGTGAAGCTTAGTTTCTGTACATCATCGTTCTCAAAGGTTCTATGCAGAAGATCATCTTTCAGCACTAGCCAATTCCATTGGCTCCAGTAACACTTGACTTCGGGACTACATGCACTAATGTCTTGCCAAGAAGGTCTTTCACTTCGATGCATCAAATCCAATACTCTTTTTATACAAGGATCATGCTTGAGCGTCTTGTAGCTGTTGAGGCTGCCATTGATCATTAATGACGGTGGTTCGTCTCACGGGGCAAAGTCATTCTTCTAATTCAAGATGTAACGAAATATTTTGCCTACCACATGGGGCATTAATACAGGGGATAGAAAATTGGGGACTGAAACTAAGGGGGTGGAGATAGGGCAAGCAAAATAAACACTACTTGTGCGAACGGCACTCATGGTTTGTTACGAGAGCTAGGGTCGTGGATAAGTAAATGGCAAGGGATCGGATTGGGCAACTACAGAAAAAAGAAACAAAAAGGGTACCAACATAATAAATTTTGGGACAAACAAAATAAAAATAAACAGGAAACACCTCTAGTAATTTAATATAGGGCGCCACTTCGAGGTGCCTAATTGTACCTATTACAACCACTAGTTGTAACTAGGGAAATAATTATCAAACATAAAAAACATATCTTTTTCAAATAAAACTCAAAAAAGGGTTTGATTAAAAAAATAAACAAAATGTTAAGAAAACAAAATTTAACATTTATTTTTGTGTCACCACAAACAGCTACAAAATAGACAATGCAAAAATATTACAACAATAGTCGCAAAATACAAAAATACCAAAAACAACTTACATGTGTCATCCGTTTACAAACTCTAGGAGTTGGAGATACTACATAAACTTACAAAATTGCATGGAGGTTAACCTTTTGTTAAAACAAAACAAACTAAAATCAAAAAATAATAAAACGAGCTGTCATAAATAAACATTAAATTTAAAACAACAATTAAAATAACAGCTAAAGTTAAAACCTAAAATTTACAATTAAAACAAAAACAAAAATTTAAATTGTTATGAAAGCAATTATTTTTCTAAAAAAAGTCTGTCTTTACTTGAAAATTAAACAAACAATAAAAATTACCTGGATGTCACAATCACTCATTACGTTGTAAACTGGACTTCTTAATTAGGACGAATACCAATCTAAGGTTAAGAGTTGGGGTACTGGAACACACCTGTGACTCGGCTTCTTAAAAAACTGGAACCATCGTAGCTCTGACTAACCAAATACATCTGCTCATTATCGCCTACATTTCAAAACTCCCTTTAACTGTAACTATTAACTGCCACAAAACTACTTTTCACTGCTACATATTTCCATAAAAAGGGGCTAAAAACAGGAAACCACAAATTTGACGTATGAATTTGGATTCATACCTGAGCCTACAGCGACCCAAGTAAGAATGACGAAATTATCTTTTACAATTGATCGCAGAAGTTCGAATAAACGAAGACTTAAAATAAAGAAAAACACAACGAAAATTAAGACGTAAATTATTAATTTGAAAACGCAGTACTTCAGGCGGCATAAATCAAAGAATATCGAGCAAAATACGCAGCCAACGAAATAAATAAATAACCCTAAAATGGTTTTTATTACTTGGCGACGCTGAAAAGAACGAAATATTATTTGGGTTTTAATATGTACGAATAGGAAACTAAAATACATTAAAAATATTCTTCAATTTTTCAAACATATATGAGGAGATTTTAATATATCACCTATACTAGGAGATTTCAATATATTTTAAAGAATCAATGAAATTGCAAATGCTACAAAGACAATGATTACGATTTGCACTGCATGGCCGTCTTGACTAAGCATCAGCATTCCAGTCCAGGGTTTGATCTGTTCTAGCTTTCTGACTGTTGTATTATTTTCCTGTAATCTACGACGAATGTGACCTACGTCGTTACCGTTCCAATATCTGGGATCACGTCTCATCGCCATCATGTTACGAACTACTTTCCGTACGATTTCCTCCAGACGTTTATCGTTTTGTACGTCGCTCTCTTCGGAGGTTCGTACTCGATAGCTCCGTGAAACTTGACTAGCTATCTCGTGTTCCAAGGCAATGGCGAGCGCTTCATCTAAAACTTTCGGTCTTGCTAGTCGTAAAGCTTTCTGTATTTCACTGTCTCTCAACCCGTTGATGAAGTTGTTGAATATGTTGTCTGGTGCATCTGGATAAGCTAACCGGACTATACGACCAACATCTGCTTCAAACTCTTGCAAATTTTCACTTGCTCGTTGAATTCTACGTCTTAGTTGCTCCTTGTAGACTTGTTGTAGATGGGCATCTCCGTAACGTTTGTCTAGTCGAGTGAACAAGGTCTGGTAACATTTTTCTTGACCCTTGTGAATCGATCTTAGGATATCTGCAGCATCACCTCGTAAAGCAGCGTTCAAGAAAACAGCCTTTTCTTGTTCTGTCCAATGATTGGCTGTCGTAATGGCTTCAAATTGTCTAAGTTATAAGGACCAAGAGGACTTTCCATCAAATGGTGGCAATTTGAATCTCGTGTGATGTGGCGTTTCGTCTCTCGGTGATTCTTCTTTCACTACCGGATCTAAGGCTACTGTATTAATTGGTGGTAGCAGTTTTGGGTTAGTTATCATGATCTCTAATTGTTTGATCTTCTCATCTACGTCTTCTATCTTGTCGTTCACATTTTTACCTTACGTACCTTATCGAATGTTCTTGAGACTTCTTCAAATTTCTCATCGTTTTAATTACATACTTGTTTAATTATTTGTGAAGTCTCGTCGAATCTTCTAGCAACATCTTCAAATTTCTCGTCATTTTGTCTAGCAGCTTCTTTAATAATTTGAGACGTTTCATCGAATCTTTTGGAAACGTTCTCGAATTTATCATCATTTTTTTAGAAGATTCTTCAATCATTTGTGAGACATTTTCAAATTTCTCATTTATTTTTGTTAAAACTGTATCTTCTGCTGATTGAAACTGGAATGTCTCTGGGTCTTCTCCATTCTTGTTAATAACATCTTCAGTCGTTCTCGAATGATCTTCTTGGACTCTCTGCAGTCTTCATCGCGTTCTTCTAGTTGCTCACGTAACTGTTTTACTGAGAGTTGTACTAGCAGCATCTTTGTACAGGCACACATGTACTTTTTTAAATGTTCTTTCGTACAAAGGTCACTACCGAACTACGTGGATGTTCCCGACGAACAATACTTTTCAAAAGTTCAAAAGTCACTGCTGAATTTATTTTCAAGTCTCACACCGAATACCAACTGTAGCGTTTTTAAATAAAACGAGCGGTTCGAATTTATATAAATAAATTTATCTGTAACTTTACAGTTCGTAGCATGTTCGTAAAAATAATTAAATTTATACAGTTTGCTTTTGGGAAGAACTACTCATATCTATATCTGAGAAAGAAATGTTTGCAATAATCGGAAATTAAAAATACTCGAGTGTCAACAATTTTTAAAAGAAAATTAGTAAAACGTGGGGTAAGACAAGAATTAAATATATATAATAACGGATTAATTACGTGTCGCCTCTTCTCCGCCCTCAATTTCCATATTTTTCTGTCATATGCAGTTGCCTCTTCTAAGTCTCTTGCCGTCATTGCTTCATCAATATCGTTGCGCCAACTTCTCAGCGGTCGTCCTCTCTTTCTTCTTTCAGGAGGCATCCATTTCAGTACTCTTCTAGGCCATCTGTACTCTGGCATTCTTTTAACATGTCCGAACCAGATTAATTGTTTTTCTATGTCATCATTGTTATTTTTTTTTCTTTTCTTTCTTACTCTCTCCAGTTTCGATCTACCGCAACTTCGTTTCAGATAATCCATTTCTGTCGTCATAAGTTTGTTTCTATTAACTTTGGTGACATCCCATACTTCCGAACCATAAAGTATAATACTTTCTACTATACTACCGTAAATGTGTTTTTTGGTTTCTCGTCGAATTGTTTTTTGCCAGAGAAGAGAGTTTAAGGCACAGGTCGCTGCTCTGCCCTTGTTTATTCTTTCCATGATTTCATCTAAATCAAGAAATTAAATATTTTTTTTAGATTTGTAACATTACTAAAACACAACTTTTAGACTATCTTTAAATGCAATGCTCATTACGACATTATCTGTATAAACTGATGGATTTATACCTTATGTATTTTATGTTATGTTTCTGAAAAATATTGCTTGAACTTTATATCGATATTGATATCTGTGTACCTTTCGACTACTACTTTTATAATGATAGTATGTAGAACAGTTTATCACTAATATTTAACACTTCCCGAAATCACAACTGTTTAACTGTTGTTGTCAACAAGGGAATGTCGAATGACTCGATAGAATTTGATATTAAAAAAATAGAAGGCTTAAGAATATGAGAAGAAGAAGACACCAATTCATTTCCCACGACCAAGAGAAACCTAAGTAATAGGTTTCTGTTCGTCGATCTGTTTGTCCGTCTATCTGTCTGTGAACTCTTGAATTGTCCTAGTGTTTTTAAACTTGGTACATAGGTTCCCCATGGTCCAAAGAAGAACCTCTTGAATTTAGGGCCAAAAGTCATCAAAGTTACACATACCCCGGATAGAGAGAATGTAGGGATTTGAAGGTTACATAGATATAGTTCCTTAAGAGTCTAAATGATATTGTGTTTCAGCTAATTAAAATTACTAATACTGTTTATTAAATAGTTCTATACAGTGATGAGTGCGTTAAGAACGGGAAAAATAACGCAAAAGATAAAAAACATAATACGTTATGAAATAAAAAGAGATACAACTAACAAAGGTGGGAAATTATCGATAGAAACATAACTTAAATTACATTACATTAGGACTATCGATAGTTTCCCACCTTTAGACGTTAGCTTATGAGCTAGTTGACTTGAGTCATAATGATAGGTATGACGTCGGACATTACATCTTTTTGATTTCTTCTATTACTCATGAAGTAAAAACTAATGTGTATGCGACGTTTCAAATCATAGTAGAAATTATTCTTGATTAATAATTTAATTTTGTATTAAAAAATGACTACTAATTAAAATGTTTTTACTTACATTTGCTTTATTGTCTTTAATCAGTTTTTACTTTATGTGAAATTAAAAAAATATTAATGTTCAACGTCATACCTATAATTAGGACTGAAGTCAACTAGCTCATAAGCTAACGTCTAAAGGTGGGAAATTATCGATAGTCTTAATGTAATGTAAATTATAGGATTCTATCGATAATTTTCTACCTCTACTAGTTTCATCTCTTTTTATTTCACAACGTATTATGTTTTCTATCTTTTGCGTTATTTTGTTGGTTCTTACGGCAGTCCTCCCTGTATAGATCTACTCTTATTGATCCATCAACTTGTGTGAACTATTTTCGCTCCTTAAATTTAATTTTCTTACAGTTCTTTATACTTATCTTTTCGTAGATTTTTCCTTTTCACTGAACTTATATTTTATGTTTTGCTTCTTTAATTTTTTATTAATTAGTTATTAAAAACACTAAATTTTTGCCCATCTAGAGTGTATGAGTCCTGCCATTTATGTCTAAAAGTTTGTTCGTCACTCCAGACTATGACATGCTGCTCTTACTTAGGACTGATTAGAAAGTAATAGATTGAATACAGACGTATGGTCTGATGACAGTATATCGACCACTAAAATTGAAAACGTCTTCGAGTTTTTTTTTAACTATTACTATCGGATGAGCTCCATGTAGAACGAAACAGCGTACAAGGTTTAAGACATATAGAAAAGGGCATATTGGACATTTTCTCAATACGAATATATTAAATAACATAATTTCATTTATTTTTAGCACCAGATAAACGAGTTCAGAGTTTACCAAACGAAAATCCTCCTAACATTCCTAAGCGTGGCCAGAAGAAGTCTACTCAGTCAATGTGTAGTGTCGAATACTTTCCTCTAGAAGATTCCACACAGGAAAGCAATCTAGTTACATCAACTAACAGTCTCAGTACTCACGTGGACAGCCACGACTTACGCGATTCTGGAATCAGCATGACAGAACCTCCGATGAACAATTTCAATAACGCGAGTTACGAAGATTACGATTTTCGAACTCACCAGTCCGAAATGAATATTAATAGCAGCCCCAGTCCAAAAGCTGAGAATACTGAAAACCCGCCTCCTATACCCCCTAAGTCAACTCTATCCTCTCTTAACTCGAGCTTTGACTTAGGAGGTAGTCTTGAACGGCCAAAACGACGTGAAGAGTTGGATGTGTTAAGTCCAGTCGAAAGTTATTCCTTTCCTGTCATACACAAAGAGAACGGGACTACCGCAAGCTGTACTGAAAAAAATACCGAGTCCTAAGGTGTGTAAGTCTATATTATGTGTACTTTTAAGTTAATTTTTGTGGTAATTGCTAAGTCACTGTGATTTTGTTTTTGTATCAATTTTGGTTTAGCTTTATAGGACGTCTGGAATTATTGCTGGTTGTGACATAATTTGATGTTATTTTTAGATTTTAAGATTTTATTGCGTTTTCAATTTTTATGTATTTTATACTAAACGATTTTATTTTTTGCGTGTAAAACCGAACATATTATGGTTATATCTTAGATTTGGAAGATGTGTTTTTAAATTAGAAATATAATTGAATTCTTTTAAGTGTTAAAGTATTATTTGTAAAGCGATTTTATTCATATTAATTATATTTATTATCTAATCAATTAACTAATAATATTTTGCAGTACGCTATCTCTGCAAAACTTTTCTTCTAGTCTAATCTTTTCTATTCGTCTTCTTGATATGCCTATACGTGACGAATGTTGCATATCATCATGGCAACGTTTATCTTATCTGCAGCAGCACGGAAAAGTTACACAGATGTTGTGTTGAACCGGGTTCTGAGGTTCTTTAACCAGGATGTTCTTTTTCTTCCTGAAACTCGCTTTTCAAATATTTTTTCTTGCAAGGTGGCTTGTATTAGGGCATATCTCTATTAATTTCGCATAATGTGTTCGAAGTATTGTAACTTTCGGGATTTGATAGTGGTCAGTACTTCTCGGTTCTTCTTCATGCTTCTGGGGACCTCCTCATTTGTGACTTAGTCAGTCAACGGGATCTTAAGTGTTCTCCGATATAGCAACATCTCAAATGTTTTCAATCTTCTGCACATAACTTGGTTTAACGTCCAAGATTCAACACCATAAAAAAGCACAGAGAAGACAGCATTGCAGCATTCTTACTCTTATTTCTATTCCCAAGCTTACTATATTATTATTAAAATATGTAAACATACTTTTCTAAAACACAACCACTAATACATAATTTGCAATTCAATATCTTCTTTTTGCATTAAAATATATTTTTCTATTCGTATATTAGCAAAAATACCATAATGGTACAGAAAATGTTTGATATATATAATTATTCACCAAAACTGTTTCGTAATATTTTATATTATGTCCTTTGTTTACACTTAATATTTATACTATATTTATATTTTTAGCATTTTTATTCTTTTTAAAGAAAAACTGAAATTGAAAGGTTATTACACTTTTTATATGTTAATAAATTTAAAACTTAAGGAACAAACAGGTGTCCTTATAATAAACCTAATTCGGTCTAGTAATCTAAACTTTATAAATTCAGTTCACTGCTCAGTCACTTTTTTGTAAAAATACTTGGTAGTAAAAATATACAACTCGTGTATTAAGCGTCGGGTGCCCGTTTTATTGATAGCGTGAACAACGAATAAATGTGTAAAATATGTCACAAGAATATCTATACAATATGTAAACAACACGATATGCCATATATCCGAAATTATTAACTTTAACAGAATATGACTTCAAAAACTATATTAATGAAATCCAGCTATCTACGTTAATAGTGCGAACTTAACTATGTTAGAAATCAGATCATACCGTTCTCATCAGAATACAAACATACATAGGTACACTTTATTTACACAGCAACATGCATTGCATAAATCAATTGCAAGAAAATGTCAGAAACCAAAAATTATGTTGGGACATAAGCACGCGTAAATAGACTATAACTCATATAAAATATAAGACTACAAATTAATAAAAATAAAGGAACTATTTGCGTCACTTGTTGACTTATATAGAGACTTTTAAAAAAGGCTTTGGCACTAAAAAGGCATTATTTACTATACAGTCATAGAACAGTGTCGAGATGTCAGCTGTGACGTATTCATGTCTAGTTGGCTTTGAGAAAGCCTTCAACAAAATACAAAGCAGAAAGCTTGCAAACATTATATCATTAATAAAGACATAAATAGATGATCAGGATGTGAGAATCATTACCTACAAAAATCTAAAGAGATACCTATAAGAGGAGAAGTTCGACAATGATGTATACTGTCTCCTCTACTATTTAATATGTATTCAGCAGAGCGGTTTAAAGAGGGCCTAGATGATATCCATGAAGACATATTTATTAAAGGAACACTAGTGAATAATCTCGGATATTCAGACGATACAATACTCCTTGCGGACAGCAGAGAAGGGATGCAAATTTTGGTTGATTGCATTACGCATTTCTGCAAGAGGTATGGAATGGCTCTGAACACAAAAAAAAAACAAAAAATCATGATTGTCATTGAGTACTTTGGTCACATACTAAGAAATAAACTATATGAGTTGATGCGATTGATTATGGAAATGGAAGGAAAAAGAGGACCGGGGAGACGATGCACGTCCAGGTTGAAAAATTTAAAGCAGTAGAGTGGAAAAACAATAATAGAAGTCTAGATGAAGCACACGAAGATGATTCTCTGAAACATGAATTCAATTTCGATGATTCCTGTATTTTGGCAAAAGAAAAGAACCATTCAAAACGTGTTTTTTTGGAAATGTGTTTCATAAAATCTAGCACATCTTGCATCAATAAAAAATCTGACATAGACAAATTAAGCAACATTTATTGTTATTTACTAGAAAAACACCAAAAATAAAATAACAATTTACCTGTACATAAATTACACCTCTATGTATAATATGTTGCATACCATTAAGACAAGTTTAAAAAGTATAGTCACCTAAGAAGGGCCTCTAGTATTTCTTGAAAAGAAAGATAACATCAATTACACCTAATTACATGTTAATTACAGTGTTTTTACTTTCCATTCTCTGTATGAGTTAAAACACACCAGTAAAACATGCCATCAACTAAGTTTTACTATTTTTACAATAAATTTTAAAAATTTTATAATGTATGTTGTCCATAATTGTATATTTTAATGTGTGTTATAAATGTTGAGTGTCAATGCTTATATAAATAATCTCAACGACTAGTAAGTTACACTGAACAATTATGATATTTTTTAAATATTTAAAAATTTGTCTTATTACAGTGTCTTGAAAAAGGAATTAAACCATTCCGAAAGCTCGACAAAAAGTCAAAAGAGTGTTTTTTTAACATCCCGGCCAATATTCTGACTGCAACCCTAATAAACTGTGTTGTTTATTTATATCGACTGTCACTAATATCCAGTATTTCTTATATATATATATATATATATATATATATATATATATATATATATATATATATATATATAAGTAGATACTTGTAATATATATTCGTTAAAATTATATTATAACCGTAGATAACACAACTATCGTAACAATCAAACACTGCATGTCCCTATCCAGAATAGAAAATGAATTGGACTAAAGTTCCATTAGGTGATAACAAGTGAACAGATTTTAATGTATAAGGTTAGTTCTTTTGATTATATGTTAACTTTAATGCAAGAATCTCTATCTAATAAGTATTAATACTGCGCAATTAGTATATCGGTAACATTAAACACTGATAACTAATTGCAGTAACAAAACCCTACTGTTAATACTTTCGTTGTAATTGATGAGAAAGCCACAAAAAAAAATATATGGTACTATCACTACGTAGAAGTAATGGATTTTGACAAGAGCTATGAGTCATGCCGATTCAGTACACAAGTTTACCTATTATTTTCAAGGTCGTAGTTCTTGTTAAAATCCATTACCTGTATTTAAATTTATGATAATTATTTTTCTCTCAATATCTGCATCTAATTTTATTCCGCTGACTTCATTTTATTACTAGTTCTCTTAGTATTTTTTGATATATAAGTTAAGTATTGATCATTTTCTGTTAAATCATTTACACGTCATCAAATTTCATGATGTCATTTTTGCATCTCAATACAAATCAAATGGCTACTTGACAAAGAAGATGTATAATTTCTAAGGTTGTTGGATCTCTCAAAGCTGATTCATAAAACTGATTCTGTAAATTTAATTGGAACACTTTCTATTATAGTCCGTTCGCTCAACTTTGGAATATTTTGACATATATATTGACGGAAAAATACAACACAAAAATTCCTACCTCTCGCTGTTAATAGCTCAAATACACACTATTGCAGATTTCCTTCATTAAAAAAGTAGACAAATCATGAATAATGGGAGCAGATGTTCATTAACTTTAATTAAAGACTTTCTATTTGTAAATAATAATCTATAAAGGGTATTGTTTACCGTTCGAACCCATCTATTTTAGGTTTGTTCACATTCCATAAAGTTAGTGATGTTAATAAAAATACATTTTGCAACTCTTTAAACAGTAGTGAGAGTTTCTGATTGTCATTACTGTTTTTTGAGTACCAAATTTTAAAATAATTCTTATTATTATTTTAAAATCTCATTTATGACATGCAACGGACTTTAGAGGAAAAAATGGATATCGTTAATATCTTTGTTTATGTGATAGATACCCTTGAATTTAAATATGGTGTTAAACTTTTCTTTTTCTTTATTACCTCTTTGTCTTTATTACTTTTGATCAAATATTTTATTGAGTTTTGTAGTTGTATCCCAAGTATTATTTTGGTATTCGTTCTATGTTTGTGGGTGCCATGGTAAGGTATTTTACCTGATTTGTTGTATATAACTTTAGATAAAAGTCTTAACGGTGTTAATTTGTAATTTTAAATATTTTTAAATATTAATTTGGGAAATAACGAAATAATTAATAGATGTTTTAAAGTTAAGATTAACTCCCTGTAAACATTCAATCGTTTTAAGAACTGTAATGGAAAGAATGATTGTATCAATTGAACTAAATCTGCAACTTTTAATATTATTTTTAGCAATATATCTACGTTGTAAATAAGCAATAATTCTCAGTATGTACGTCCTAGAAAGTAAAAAATCGAGACTCGATTGTAGTTTATAAATTTTTTACCAATGTATTTATCCATTCCCCTATTAAAATATTCCTATATTGTATTTTGTATTGTCGTGAATCTTATCAAAAAATATTTTGTATTTCTATTTTCATATTGTAGGTCAACC